AGACATTTCATACATTCATTGAGATCCCAACTTGGAAGTATCTCCCTAGACCCTCCAAGTATCCATCAAAAGGAGTAAACATTTGTAAACATGTATTCACAGTTGGGTGGTAAGTTGTTTTTTTCTCAAGCTGCCGATTTCTATGGCTATACAAATCTAGAGTCTAGTCGAGTGTCTGAATCCTTTTCCGCTTTCTTGGTCCAACTTGGGATCTCCAATCTGCGGAAGGATTGGTCAGCTGAATGACTTCTGATGAACGGTGAGCTGACGCTATCCTATGAACGGTGACTGGCTTACATCAATATCTCACTTGGGTCATAATTTGATGTACTCCCACAGCTAGGATCTAATGAGATCTAACAATTCAGTCTCAAATGATTGATGATAAACTTCCTAAACATAGATCCAGACTGGTTGGTGGTTGACCTACCCCTCTGAAAAATGATGGAGTAAAAGTCAGTTGGGATGATCATTCCCAATATATGGAAAAATAAAAGCCATGTTCCAAACCACCAACCAGCAGATATACTACCTTTAGGGATCGCACAAGGGTTCCACAAGGCCATGTGTTTTTTGGCGTCATGCTGCTTCATCACACCTTCGGCAGTGCTCCTCGAAAGGGCACTCTACACCTTGACGGTCATTCAGTACCAATAATGGAGAAACGAACAACACCTTTGGGACAAGACACAGGATATTAATTAATGGATATTATGGGTTTTTGTTGAGGGTCTAGGTGTATTTTCTCGATACATATAATATACATATATATATATTATATACGTATATATATATATATACATGTTTCTACAATGAGCTGTACCATTTGGGTCTGGAACCATTGAGAACGTGCACTTGGATCACCCTGGGGATGTACAGCAATAAGACATTGTCTGGTTGTATAATCATGATTGATCCTTGACCATCATTTCCATATTCAAACGGCCATTTGCGGGGTAGAGCCCGTTTTGAATCAAACCCATACAGAGTATCTGGATCTTTCATGAGTTGCAGGGAATATGTCTCTTTTCTGGATCACCTCATGGTGTATCAATAAGTAGAGTAGAGTTCCGCCCCAACTCTGAAACTTCTTCGCTACCCTGAACAACCAAGTAGCTGGCTTACAATCTTTTGCTGAAAAAGGAACACTCCATCACATCTGGGCAAAACCATCATACTTCCCAAATCTGAAACCCATCTTGGGGTTGGGGTGGATTCCCAGACTAAGCACAACTCAATTTATAGAAGCTCCCCCATGCCACAAAAAAAGTCACTCGCTGATGCAGCGCCCCGGAAATCTTTGCCCCGACAGCGCTGCACTGTTGACAGTGCACTGATCCAGAAGGTCTTGGAAAAGGAAAATAACCTGTGTTCACATTTGTTCACTAGGCAAATCATCTGCAAACAAGGCATTTGTCTGAACCCGTGTGTTGGTCTGCCGAAGGACAGGGACCTTTACATGATTCCAATTCTGCTACCCGGTTGATCCACATGTCAACACCCGCATGCAGCCAATCAACTTGGCAGCGGATTGTAGTAGTTGCTTAGTAGCCAGGGTTGTGAACCAATCAATAATGTTTAGTCATTGTGGTTGCATCATTGCACCATCTTCTTTGGGCCTAGTCCTCATCTCAGATAAAAAACCGCCGGCCAAAGGTCACCCCAATCCAAATCATAGCAGGTTAGTAAGCCATAGTAAGCCCATATGCCCTTAATGAACCATTGAATCATGCGCCTTAGCACTTTCATTTGTCACCAACAAGTCGCACCATACATAAGGCCAAGTCCATTTATATGTGTCTTCATAGAAACACAGAATCGACACATATAGGGGCCTCAAGAAGCATTGTGCTGCCAAATCTTCCTGGACCACTCTCTGCCCAGCATGACTCGCACGTTATCATGTGTAGCTTGATTGACATTGTGACCACCTTTTACGATGCATTTCTAGTGATGCTGGAACCTTCAAAAAGATGGAACATACAATCAGCCTGCACATATCTGTATACATCTGGGCAATCATTGTTTTTTTTTCACGTTGTTTCACATGATCCCCATTGTCTTGTTGATGATATGTCCCTCTCCATAGATAATAAAAGCAAGTTGAGAATGATCTCTCTCTCTCTCTCTGTGTAGTTGCAAACAAAACTCAAATCAATTTTCATCAAGATTTACCCACATGTTTGACAGTCAAATTCACCCTTCAGCAAGAGGTTACCCATCATTGAACTGCTCTATCACGATTGGACGACGATGAAATTCGGAACTTTTTCCCTGTGACATCACATGTGATAGGCTTGCTCATGTCCTGCTTCAATGGTCTGTTATAGAACCATATAAAACCATATAAAACCATATAAAACCATATAAAACCATATAAAACCATATAAAACCATATAAAACCATATAAAACCATATAAAACCATATAAAACCCTTATAAAACCATATAGAACCATATAAAACCATATAAAACCATGTGAAACCATATAAAACCATATAAAACCATATAAAACCATATAAAACCATATAAAACCCTTATAAAACCATATAGAACCATATAAAACCATATAAAACCATGTGAAACCATATAAAACCATATAAAACCATATAAAACCATATAAAACCATATAAAACCATATAAAACCATATAAAACCATATAGAACCATATAAAACCATATAAAACCATATAAAACCATTTAAAACCATATAAAACCATATAAAACCCTTATAAAACCATATAAAACCCTTATAAAACCATATAAACCATATAGAACCATATAAAACCATATAAAACCATATAAAACCATATAAAACCATATAAAACCATATAAAACCATATAAACCATATAAAACCATATAAAACCATATAAAACCATATAAAACCATATAAAACCATATAAAACCATATAAATATAAACCATATAAACATATAAAACATATAAAACCATATAAAACCATATAAATATAAACCATATAGAACCATATAAAACCATATAAAACCATGTGAAACCATATAAAACCATATAAAACCATATAAATATAAACCATATAAAACCCTTATAAAACCATATAAAACCATGCGCATTTTCCCGACCTCTGCAGCACTGCTCGTGGCATCCCGGCGCTTCGCCGCTGGGATCTTTTCGCTGGGATCCTCTTGGAGGACTCCGTGCGAACCGATGGCACAAGCCACTGGAAGCCACTGGAAGCCACTGGATTCGACCAAATGACTTTTTGGACAACCTACGGATCTACGGTGGGTGGTTGCGAAATCCGATAAACCACCAATTTGGGATGGTTGAAAGATGTTGAAACCCCTTTTGAATAATGGGATAAAGCACCGTTTTCAACTGGTGCAGGATTTCGCTGGCCCATCCACAGTATGTGGGCACAAATGAATTGTGGATTGAAGGGAGAGCAGACTTTTTTGAGAGTTTCGCCAACCAAACGAGGGATACTTAAACCTGCTACGTAGAGAAGTCCCTTCTGCGATCCAACCAGATCGCAACGGAGTTTGACCATGGGATTCAACAGCCAAACGCAGTGGGTCCCATGTTTGTAAACTACCCTCTGGTAATTTAACATAACTATGGAAAATCACCAGTTTCAATGGGAAAATCTATTATTAATGGCCATTTTCAATAGCTATGTTAAATTACCAGAGGGTACCAATTTTTCCTGGCAGATGTCCCCCTTTAGGCTGATCCTGATGTAACTTAGATAGGCTATCCCAAAATGGTCCATCTAAGTAGCTCGATGAGGCTGATCCATGCCAATATTGTAACGACTTACAAGCTATTTTTATGGTCCATCTAAGTAGCTCGATGAGGCAGATCCATGCCATTTTTTTGTAACCTCAAAAGATTTTAAAAGTCATTTACATTCATTTACCACTATTTTAGTCAATAGTGTTCTCTCAAGTCTGTCGGAATTTTACTTTCATATCTTTCATCTTGTCGGGCTTTGTTGTTATGAACGTCCTGGGAACATCCCTAGCATGCTGTTGGGAACGCACCTGTTGCGAAGCTGTTCCAGCAAGCGGTGCGTCACGACTGCATGTCTTCAAAATGTTGTGGATCTTTATGGACAACCTCCTTGATCTCAATAAAACAATGGAAAATCCAGTATCTGCAAATGATCTGTTGATAATTCATCAGAATTCCTTCCACTTTTCACTTCCGTTCGATCTCCCCCAATCCCCAATCATAGCTGTGATCGTCCAAGAAGCGGCCCGCTTTGCGGGAAAAAGATTCAGCTGCAACCCACCAAGTACAGCTTGAGTAAAATACTTGGACCAACCAAGAGTTGGCCCACACACCAATTTGTTGCCTGCTGTTGTTGATTTTTTTCCCACAGCCATGGAAGAATCATCCGTTTGTACATGAATTAGTTTTGAATATGGTCATATTTCCATGGATATATTATGATATATTCAATAACCACAGGGTAAATGGTAGTTCATGGACCATATACTTGGCCAAATGGGGCCTAATTGTGGATGCGTCACTCTATATTTAAACCCTGAAATACAAGCACAGGTGCCTATAAAATTGGTCTATCCTCTGAAAAGACGTGTTGTCGCAGCTTAGATCCTTCCCATACTTCATGGGTAGGGTAAAATATTGATAATATGGATACATAATATGGTAAGACGTGTAACACTTGATATACCCAGTCCAATTTGGAGCAACATTGTGCAACGTATCACTTGAGATTGGCAAACAAAATACAACTCAATGCGCGTTACAACGTTGATCCTCTGCTAAACCTTTAGATACCTCTAGTCTCTAGTAGGATAAACGATGACAAAACGCAAGCCCAGGCAAAACCACAGAAAGCCATCATGCCATATGGGGATGGGTCAAAACCCTGTACCCCTGGTGAACCCCAAAATAGCTGGCAAATGGATGTTCATCCCACTATAAATGGTATTAATAGGTATTGATCCATGATGATCCATGGCCATATTTGTATGGCAACCCACTCCATCCTAAACGTTCAGCTCTCAAATTCCAGTTTGGTGGTGTATGCAGTGCTGCTGCGGATCCGTTCCCACTCCCTCGAATGCTCATCGGGCCGGAAGGTGTGGTAGTCCCCAAAACTCGCGAAGGGATCGTGGAAGAGATTGGTCCTGCAGCATTGGACACATTTTTGATCCTGGGATGCACTTCAGTGAGATCGATGTTGGCGTTTCTATTGCGCTTATGAAGAAAGTCATGCAATTCAACTGGGTGATCCAGAATCCATGATGATCCATGATGATCCATGATGATGCAGGACCCAGGAGATATCAACGAAATTCAGATGGACGCCAGCACCAAACTTCCCACGGATCCCATCAGCAAACCTTCGGCCTGGTGGCCGTTCCGTGCAAGCTCTGGGTTTGCAAAGCATCGCTACAATCGATCCGATTTTACCATCCAGAAAACTAACATAGCTATGAGAATCAAACCTCCTAGGAAATATGATCAATCTGTGTCAGTTTACTGGAGAGTATCCAATTCTGGGGCTGAAAGATGGCAAACCAAATCGGTACTAGACGGCTAGACGGCTAGGTACAAGGCTAGACGGCACGGCTAGACTCCCAAGATTCGACAGCTAGCCCAAGCATCCCAACGTTCCTGATATCTGCCGCCTGGCCATTCCAATGCAAATCAAATCGCTGCGCCAACTTTCCTTCCATGCCGCGTTTCCTGAGGGGCTGGGACCTGGCAAATCTCAACTGAGATCTTCTGGGATTGATCTAAGGGACAAAAATATTCGGGAGACCCGCTCCCTCCCAACTAGTTAACATGAATCTATAGATGATGAGTGAGGATTTCCAATAATGATTTCTCATGAATCACAACCGAACAAAATACGAGCAAGACATGCTTCTTGGCGGGCTAGGTCCAGGATTGTGTCGCTACAAACTCTCCAATACTATCCATCAACTATGTTGACAGGTCCATCACTGCGCGCCTACCCGCAGTTCGCCAAGGGACGCGTACTGAAAGAAAGTGCCATTTTGTGGCACCACACACCCTGAGTGGCGGGCGCCATGGATTGGTGAATAGCTGCAGTAGCTCGGCCACAGAGTGTGACCTATCGTCCAGTAATTTCACAGTTTGCGATACAAACCATGACCCATGACCCGTTGTACATGAATTACCAAGCTCAGTGAATTTCCAGTTCGCAACCTGTCCAAAATTACCAACATCAGATCGAGCTGTGTTACCAGGCGACGGAATCATTCCCCTGACAGTCCCCTACCACAGGTAGTACAGCTTCCCTAGCATACCTCAAGTGCAGTGCTGTAAATTTGCTCCATGATGTTCCATGTAAATATGAGATGTGTATGATGCATTGGATTATAAGCCACCTCCACAAAGGATATTTGGATTCAAAGGTCACCAGAATGCAGGTCCTCTCAATCATTCTTGCCACCTTTGCCACTCACAAAGTCGTTATATCCAAAAGCCATTTGAAATTGGATTCTTATAGATGTCACGAAGTTGCTGTATCCAAAACCCTTCGCAACTTGATTTTTTATAAGAACCCATGGTATATGTGCCCCCCGTTCACCCAACAAATCCCAGGAACTCTGCCAGCATGGCTGGATCCGATGCTGTGCTTGCTGCGCTTGGGAAACACAATACTCCCTGGTGGAGATTCTGGGGCTGTCAGGGAAAGCCACTTTCGATCTCGATTGTGGCAAAAAAAAAAATGATTAATCATGCAGAATATAATATATAATATATAATATATAATATATAATATATAATATATATCCTGGCAACTACTAGCCAGGGACCCTAGGAATTTTCATTGTAGACCCTTTTTCTAGGGTCTAACATGGGGTCTGGAATGAAAAACCCTAGGCTTTAACAAAAAGTTGCGTGCAGACTTCTCAGACCCTTGCACTATGACCTGGAACAACTACTATGACAGAACAGCATGCACAAGGTAACTTCATTGTAGACCCTTGCCCCGTGTGACACCCATCCCGGAAACCTAACAAGATAGCACAGTAGGCTGAACGCATGTGCATTGTTTCTCTCAAAGCCTCAAAGCCACTCCCTGTGGCTGCAAGCTCTGGAAATCCTCAATCAGATTTCTGAAAGGGACCTGGCGTTTGACGCAAAAGCCGCTCCTCACGGCGATGCCAAAATGGCATCCAAACAATTCATCAAGAGCAGGGCTACAAACCAAAACGACAAACTTTCTTTCGCGAAGATATTCAACTTACAAATTGCGAAACAATTTCTTAAAATTAGACCAATCAATGATATTAGTTGATATTACTGTATCGATTTTTCGGCAGGAAACAGCATCTAGGGTTTGAGCCGGCCATGCCCTGGCAATGCCACATGAAGGCATCCACACTCGGCCTATCTGAACTGAGAAGTTTGCCAAACAAGTACCTGTCTGCCTGAATCTATTTGTAGATTCTAGGCACCTGTGAAAAAGCAGCTCAAGGCCAATTCAAAAAACTATCTACTCATCGTCGTTCTCATCGATCTCATCATTTTCTTCGACATCTTCGGCCTCATCTGGATCTTCTTCATTCTCAACGTCCTGGTCAACGTAGCCTTTCAGAGAAACTGGCTCAAAGGCGTCGATCATGGCGACCAGTTCCTGAAGAGGTTTGAGCTTGTAGTCGCTCAAGGCATGGTCTATTTGCTGGATCCATGCTTGCACCTTGGACCCGTACAGGACCTTCTTCCTGACTTTGACGAAGAAGGCGTCGAAAAACTCACCTCCTTTCAGGAGAAACTTCTCGACGGTGATGGAGCCGCTCCGGCCCTGATATTGATATTCAATAGTCTTTCCTTCGCAGTCCATCATTGCTTTGGAAGGCATCTTTTTGCCTTGGAGCACAAGAAGCCGCTTCAGCTCCTGTCGCACCAAGGCAACACCTCTCTTGCTTCTTCTGTAGTTGGCGACGATCGGCTGAATGTATTTGGCTTCACGTTTCTTGTAAGGATGCTTCTGCACTGGGTTCTCATCCTGCCCCTCAGATTCGTTCATGGCCACGAACGCACGTCTGCTGTCCTGGCAGGCCACGTTTTTTTCATTTTTCATTTTCTTTGGCAGGCCACGCATTCATCAAAAACACAAGGACCAATTAGACTAGCAAATTATCAACCATCATTTTTCATATGTTGATCTATGTTGTTTTTTCAGGAAAATAATATTTAATAAAATTATCATCACCAAACTTCGTGCTACCATTCTTTGCTCAATTCCAACCATAGGTGCTCATGTTGATGGGTCTGAAATGATCTTCTCCATGTCTTTGTCAAAAATATCATTGATTAATTCAAGGAGTAAACCATCTTAGACCCCTGTAGGTGCACTATGATGCATCAAAACGTATGTCAATCTGTTGTGCAAACGACCTCAGAAATGATTACCTCACCTGTTTTCCTAGAATGGGTCAATTGATGACACATTTTAGCAACATTTAGCAACTACTTTCATTAATTCCTCCATTCCAACCACAGGCATTGGAGGCCCATACCTCATGTTGATGGGTCTGAAATGATCTTCTCCATGTCTTTGTCAAAAATATCAGTGATTAATTCAAGGAGTAAACCATCTTAGACCCCTGTGGGTGCACTATGATGCATCAAAACGTATGTCAATCTGTTGTGCAAACGACCTCAGAAATGATTACCTCACCTCTTTTCCTAGAATGGGTCAAATGATGACACATTTCAGCAACATTTAGCAACTACTTTCATTAATTCCTCCATTCCAACCACAGGCGTTGGAGGCCCATACCTCATGTTGATGGGTCTGAAATGATCTTCTCCATGTCTTTGTCAAAAATATCAGTGATTAATTCAAGGAGTAAACCATCTTAGACCCCTGTGGGTGCACTATGATGCATCAAAACGTATGTCAATCTGTTGTGCAAACGACCTCAGAAATGATTACCTCACCTGTTTTCCTAGAATGGGTCAAATGATGACACATTTTAGCAACATTTAGCAACTACTTTCATTAATTCCCCCATTCCAACCACAGGCGTTGGAGGCCCATACCTCATGTTGATGGGTCTGAAATGATCTTCTCCATGTCTTTGTGAAAAATATCATTGGTTAATTCAAGGAGTAAACCATCTTAGACCCCTGTGGGTGCACTATGATTCTCAGAATGGTGCTATTTGTAATTGAGTGTGAAATGATGACAAGGTTGCAATGAACCAACATCATGCTGTCATGGTTTGTCCATTTTTAACCAGAAATGTTCCAGAGTTACAATTTCAGGCCCATACATGCCCATACCTCATGTTGGTGGGTCTGAAGTGATCTCCTCCATGTATTTGTGAAAAATATGATTGGTTAATTCATGGAGTAAACCATCTCAGGCCCCAGTGGATTATGGTGGATAAACATGGATGAACCTTTTTTGTTTTCACATTCAGTGGGCCTCAGTGAGCTTGAACTTGACCCCGTCAATGCCCTTCAGCATCTCCGCCGTCTCCAGCTTGAGCCCCAAAAGCTCGTAAGGGACCACATCGCATGAGCATTGCCGATGGCATCTGTAGCTCAAAGGATCCTGTGCATCTTGCTGCGCACCTGGGAAATGAAGCTGACATGGGCGAGAAAGATTTGGACAGGTGAACCTGCAATGCAAACCAAACCGACATCCCTTCCCTCAAACACAAAAATATTATTTAATTCAGTACATGGAACGCACCACCCGCAAGGAGTGCAAGCTGCCTCTTGGCAGCGGCATGGTAGTGAGTTGGGCTCCTCCGCTTCTGGCCGAATAGTTTCGGAAAATGGACAGAACCCAACAAATCTGCCATTTGCCACCGGTTTTGATGCAAACCACGTCTGATCTCTCAACCTCGAGGGAAGGAGGCAAAGTGGGCGCAAGCTTCTTTCTCTCCAACTCCGTGTGCTGGATCCAAGCAGCCTGCCTGCTTTGTCTCATTGCTGGTTGTTTGAGCTGAGCATCCAGCCGAGAGATAGCGGCCATCAGCTTGTTGTGCCACTTTTGGCCCTTCTTCTCTGAAAACGACCTTGTCGCCAAAGCATTTGGCACAATGTCAACGTCACACCCGTTGCCTCCTGCTCGCAGGTAAAAAAGAAGTTTCCAAAGGTCAGACAAAGATGCATCCAAGTTCTTGTGTTTGGACAGTGCCGCCGACAAAGTTGTGGGCAACTCTTTTGGAATCGATGCTTCTGAGGTGTCTTCGGATTCCGTCTGGAGAATCTCAGTAGTGGCTGCTGCAATTTCAGGGTCACCAGTCACAGCAGGCTTGGGCTTCTCCTTGTGACTGTCCTTGCCTTCCATCTTGTTGATAAAGTCTCCACTGGATCGGATCCGTTGAAAGATCTGATCAGCAGAAGGCTCATGCCCATCCAAGCACTCACCTGCGCTGCTTGCATTCAACAATCTAAAGGCAAATTTAAATCATCCAAAACCTGAAACCATCACGACAGCCGCGTTGCAAAATCTCCCAACTGGCGAATTTTGTGATATCTATTGGTATCTTGTGTCCATATCTGTTGAGAAAAAATGAATACCACTGAGGTATACTGAGGTCCGGCAACTACTGACACTGGTTGGATGTGTTTGAATGTGATCATTTTTTCTTTTATACATAGATGACTCAAATGATTTTTCATGAAATTCAGATAAAGGATCTGGTGGAATGATGTTTGAACACCGAACGGTGCCTCCTTCATCCTCAAAGAACGAGTCATCCTGCTCAGGCTCTGTGGTGTCCATGGCCATATCGAAAATCGACTGCACTTCTTCCTTCTTGCAATCCGTGCACATGGAAAAGAGCCTGCGGACAGATGACCATGCGCGCTGACTGCAAAGGACAAACTCCTCCTCAGAGATTGGTGTCGAGCAAGGGCCCTGAGCATGCAAGGTCTTGCCACGGTCACTTTTCATCAGGTGCAGGCTCGCCCTCCAGTAATCGGCCATTGATACCACCGAATTCCCGAAGCTGGATCGCAGCCGCCCAAATCTGGCCTCCAGCTTTCTTTCGGAGAGCTGTTGCCAAAACACGGGTGCTGAGTTGGAGACTGCCATGGTCAGGACACTCCCACATATGTCCTTCATGGTTCTCATTGTTTTGGCATCAATCCAGAGCTGCTGTTTCCGCATGCCTCTCTTCGCAGCTAGATGCTTGGCCATTGCGGCCCCCACATCTAGGAGCAACAAACCTAGGCGAGAACCATCTGCAGGCACTAAGTCAAAAAAAAAACTGGTCAACATGTTGAAGAAAACATAGAAACACTTTCAGTTCAGGGATGTTGGTTTGCCCAAAAAATTGGAATCAATACGATAATCAATCTAGTGGCCACACATTGCTGCCTCAACATGCCATGTGAGGCTGGAGTTTCGGTGAAGGACACATCCTTGGACATGGGCTCCCAGCAGCGAAAACATCATTGCTCCTTGGAGCATCCAGGGGATCTGCACCTCTGAAGCCAGGGGATTGAGAGCAAAGTTGGCCGGCGACAACCTGAGCTGCTGATGAATGGTAAGGGGTCTAGATTGGTATTCTACACCTGTCTGTGTAATGGAATGTTGGTTAATCCATAGAGTAAACCAGTTCAGACCTTTTTGGATCATCTATGAACAGAAAATCTACCATAGGCATTCTTAATACCAGTGGATCACCATGTTTGAACCTAACAATACCATAGTTCAAGTTTATGGGTCTGGATTGGTATTCTACACCTGTCTGGGTAATGGAATGTTGGTTAATCCATAGAGTAAACCAGTTCAGACCTTTTTGGATCATCTATGAACAGAAAATCTACCATAGGCATTCTTAATACCAGTGGATCACCATGTTTGAACCTAACAATACCCATAGTTCAAGTTTATGGGTCTGGATTGGTATTCTACACCTGTCTGGGTAATGGAATGTTGGTTAATCCATAGAGTAAACCAGTTCAGACCTTTTTGGGTCATCTATGAACAGAAAATCTACCATCGGCATTCTTAATACCAGTGGATCCCCATGTTTGAACCTAACAAGACCCATAGTTCAAGTTTATGGGTCTGGATTGGTATTCTACACCTGTCTGGGTAATGGAATGTTGGTTAATCCATAGAGTAAACCAGTTCAGACCTTTTTGGATCATCTATGAACAGAAAATCTACCATAGGCATTCTTAATACCAGTGGATCACCATGTTTGAACCTAACAATACCCATAGTTCAAGTTTATGGGTCTGGATTGGTATTCTACACCTGTCTGGGTAATGGAATGTTGGTTAATCCATAGAGTAAACCAGTTCAGACCTTTTTGGATCATCTATGAACAGAAAATCTACCATAGGCATTCTTCATACCAGTGGATCACCATGTTTGAACCTAACAATACCATAGTTCAAGTTTATGGGTCTGGATTGGTATTCTACACCTGTCTGGGTAATGGAATGTTGGTTAATCCATAGAGTAAACCAGTTCAGACCTTTTTGGATCATCTATGAACAGAAAATCTACCATAGGCATTCTTAATACCAGTGGATCACCATGTTTGAACCTAACAATACCCATAGTTCAAGTTTATGGGTCTGGATTGGTATTCTACACCTGTCTGGGCAATGGAATGTTGGTTAATCCATAGAGTAAACCAGTTCAGACCATATAGAGTATGATATCACAAGGAACAATTGCCAAAATGGAGCAACATGACACAACTATTTTTGGAAATTACTTGAAATATCCCGAAAGATCAGCCATCTTAAACCAGCCTAATCCATCCTAATCCATCATAATCCATCCGTATCCTGAAACAAAATGAGGCATAAACGAAGCAAATCTGAGACACAGAAGGGCGCCCTGAGCGTCGCTCATAGTGTCCATGCCGCAAAATGCAGCTGGTGCCAGGCCAAGGTCCAAGCTTGCGGCAAAGTCACTCCAAAGAAGGCCGAAGCAAGGTGTGTGCAAGCACGTCCTCAACTGTTCTGCAAAAGCCTTTTGCGAGTGTGCAGGCCCGGGCACGAAGTGGATGCTGCAACCATTGATCATGGTCACCCGGTATGGAATTGGCCATTTGCACTCTGGCAGCTGCACCCAACGCAACTTGTTGAAAAATGGTAGCTTTTCAAACAGCTCGTCACAGAGGTCAATGCGTCGGCCAAGGAGGGTTGAGGCTAACCATCCGTGTGATCCGTGTCTGTCAGACATGACGAACCTGATGGATGGTGAGTTTGCCAGTACCTGGCCAATGAGGTTCATGACCTCAAACTGTCCTCTCTGAACCTTTGGATTTGTTGCCAGTTTCTCGAAGTCCTCATGCTGGTTCGCAGCTGGTACACATGGCCACGCAGCAGTCTCGTAAAAGGTGCTGTGAGGACGGGAAACGTCCCAGATCAAGCAACTGCAAACTTCAGATGCCTTCTCCCTCGTTCTGGTGATGGTCACTGGACCTGCAGCAGGTTCATTCTGCCGTTTCACAAGAATCTGCGACTCATCTGGTTGAGCAAATCCAGGGCACCTGTAGACACCTCCAGCCATGACGTGTCCTTTCGTAGTCTGCAGCAATTGTGTTGTTGCCTGGACATACGTTCTGTCGAAAGCTAAGAGGAGACGACGTTGTGGCTTGGAAGCTTCATTGGGCAGAAGACAACTGATCGCATGGTCGTTCTCTTGGAGATCTTCTGGGGTAGGGCAAGTGAAGACTGGCAGGCCTTCATCGCGCAAAGTTGCCAGGCTCCCACGCCAAGTGTTCCTGGTTAACCACTCCAGCCCCAGGGCGCCCAGCGCTTTCCAGTTTGCGCCTGCCGACGCCAACTCAGCACCGGCTGTAATCAGCAGCTCTCGCTCCTCCTCGGAGCCTTGGGTACACAGCTATATGCAACGCATTGCAACGCTATGCAAAGCTATATGCATGAACTAGCTCAGTCGAGTCCACTGTTCAATGATTTGCGGTGATTCAATGTGATTCAGCCATATCTGAAATCGGCACACTCAAGTCTCAAATACATGCAAATACTATGACTATCTATGATTATAATGTAATAGATATTTCATTGATATATATTGACATCAAATATGATCAAATATCATCACATGGCATCGATCGATTCCTGCCAACTGCCAACTAAAAAACCACACAAAAAAATAGCAACTTCTTGAACCCGAACGTACTGAAGAGAATTGACAAGGCACGATGGCGGTTCCTCATTGTGTGAGTTCCATGCTGCCACTGCCGAAGTTTGTCCATGATGGCACAAAGAACACCGTGCACCGCAGGGTGCCGAGAGACTTCCCCGGTCACAATCGACCGAACCATCTCCAGCTCTCCAGCTCCAGTGGTGGGGTCACTCTGCATGAAATTGAGCAGGTTTTGGAGGTGCTGCTTCTTGATGGAGGATCCCGGTTCACAAACCATGCAAGGGGAGACGTACATCGCCATGAACAACTCACAAGTTTCGGTGTTGGTGACGCCGAGTCTCCCACGCCATGTTTTGCAGACCTGCGAGTGAAGATCTTCAGGAGACCCGCTCAAGCTTTGCTCGTACAGAGCTTTGTGCCTTCTCAAGTAGTTGGGACTGGAACGTAGCTTACCCTTAAAGTCCTCCAAGCCATCGGGGTCGAACATTGTGAAGTGCAGGAGCCTGGCTATGTCAAGGGACCACACGAAGTTGCAGACCTTCGCCACGAAGCGCTGTTTCGATCCAAGCAAGAAGCACTCTTCGCAACATGCATCACCCAGCTCATTCTGATAAACCTGCACTCAAGCCGGCGCAAACTGGAAAGATTGATATTCAAATTATCCAGTGTTCAACCCAAAAGGTGTCGAAAGCTCATGCCCATGGGGTCTGAAATTGTTTTCCCCAGCCATCTGTGAACCTATATTGTTGGTTTGCTCATAGGCAAAACCATTTCAGACCCCACTATCATATACTATCATATACTATCATGATATATGATGAGAAATCCCGTTGAAACTGTAAACATCCAACCATGATTGGGCAACTCTATTGATGCCATAGCTCTTTGGCAACCCTCCAATGTTGAATGGTTACCCACGGCACCGGTTTTCATTGGTGTGTTAAGTGAATGTCTAACCCAAAAAGCTCATGCCCATGGGGTCTGAAATGGTTTTCTCCAGCCATCTGTGAACTATATTGTTGGTTTGCTCATGGGGAAAACCATTTCAGACCCCACTATAATGATATATGACAATCCCGTTGAAACTGTAAACATCCAACCATGATTGGTCAGCTCTACTGATGCCATAGCTCCTTAATATTCCTTAATGGCAACCCTCTAATGTTGAATGGCACCCCTGTAATGGACAGAAACCACTGGTCCACAGTTTCACATCAAGTAACACGTCCCGAGCCAATGCATCCGATTGCCACCAATGTCCAGTCACCAGTGTTGACGTCCATCTTGTACTTGTGGACGCCCCCTCCAGTTGGACCATCTGTCCTGCCCACGAAATTTAAAAACAAACTTCCATGAACCACAACACTCACCTGGTCCATCCTGATCACATGAGTGCTGAATATTCTGATATCTCATGTGGAGTGAAAACAATGAAAATAAAGAGTCCAACGCAAATTTAAGATAACTTTGGAAAAAAAACAACTTTCGACATTTTAGGCATCATCAATGTCCTCTCCAAGAAAGCGTATTTTGTGTAGATGTCCCAGACCGGGCGAAGGTCAGAACCCAGGCGAGTTTTTGCACCTATGCTGGACCCCAATCGGAGCCCACAGCATTTGCCCAACTGCATGCTGTCCTGGTCAGATTGGTCAGCGGCACGCTTGCATGATCTAAGCGTAACTGCCAATTCGGACTTGACACCAGAAATGCCTTGCTTCCAACGGCTGCGGTGCTGATGGCCTTTCACGTGTTGCAGGATTTTGGCAGCATTCCTGCCTTCGAAGGTGGTGGAGCACCAGGGGCAATAGACGGGATTGAGTTTCTTCTGTGACTTCTTGGGCAGCACCTCCAACTTGTGCAACTGCACCAATGCAGCCTTGCCCATGGAGACTTCCGGCACATCTTCAGCGTTGGCCTCACCAGGCTGCTGGTCCTTCTTTATCGCAGGCTTTTGGTCACCCTCAGCGATCTCCAACGGCTCCTGTTTCACCTTCAACTCCTGCTTGATCTGTTTGGCAGGGGCGGCGTTCTCAGGTTGAGAAACGTGCCGTTTGCGATGACGGACCTTGTTCTCGGACAACTCTATGTGAGTCTTCAAATGCTTCGCTACTCGCTCCCTCAAGCCCTCAATGGTGTTCTTCCAGGAGGCTTCACTGAAACCCGCCATGGTAAGCATGCGCTGGCAAGTCATGCATTGCGCAGGCCAGTGTCCTTCTACCTCAGAAACAAATTCAGCATCTAGAAACTGGAAATTTGACATCGATCATCCACACTAAGTCACTAACATGAGGTCCAATCACTTAAGATAATGCCATCATGGGTTTTCCAGTTGAAATCATGGTGGTTCCATAATCATAATTTGAAAAACATACCTCATTTTGATGGGTCTGAAGTGATCTTCTCCATATCTTTTTGAATAAAAACATGGGTTAATGCATGAGGTAAACCATCTTAGACCCCTGTGGGTGCACTATGATCCACTGATGTATTTTATTGCATTGAAGGTGTAAAAAGATGACAAGGTTGTAATATGTTGTAATTATATGATATCAAATGCTATCACCTAACATGATGTAATCATAGGATTTCCAGTTGAAATCATGGTGTTTCCATAATCATGATTTGAAAAACATACATCATTTTGATGGGTCTGAAGTGATCTTCTCCATATCTTTTTGAATAAAAACATGGGTTAATGCATCAGGTAAACCATCTTAGTCCCCTGTGGGTGCACTATGATCCACTGATGTATTATTGAAGGTGTCAAATGATGACAAGGTTGTAATATGTTGTAATTATATGATATCACATGCTATCACCCAACATGATGTAATCATATGTAATCATAGGATTTCCAGTTGAAATCATGGTGTTTCCATAATCATGATTTGAAGCCAATACCTCATTTTGGTGGGTCTGAAGTGATCTTCTCCATATCTTTTTGAATAAAAACATGGGTTAATGCATGAGGTAAACCATCTTAGACCCCTGTGGGTGCACTATGATCCACTGATGTATTATTGAAGGTGTCAAATGATGACAAGGTTGTAATATGTTGTAATTATATGATATCACATGCTATCACCTAACATGATGTAATCATATGTAATCATAGGATTTCCAGTTGAAATCATGGTGTTTCCATAATCATGATTTGAAGCCAATACCTCATTTTGATGGGTCTGAAGTGATCTTCTCCATATCTTTTTGAATAAAAACATGGGTTAATGCATGAGGTAAACCATCTTAGACCCCTGTGGGTGCACTATGATCCACTGATGTATTATTGAAGGTGTCAAATGATGACAAGGTTGTAATTGTATGATATCACATGCTATCACCTAACATGATGTAGTCATAGGATTCCAGTTGAAATCATGGTGGTTCCAGAATCATAATTTGAAAAACATACCTCATTTTGATGGGTCTGAAGTGAACTTCTCCATATCTTTCAGAAACAAATTCAGCATCTAGAAACTGGAAATTTGACATCGATCATCCACACTAAGTCACTAAGGACCTTTTCCCGACTAGTTCCTGGTGTAAGGTTCCATGAGTCTCATTTGGAACTTAATACCTGGAACAGACCAGACATGATAAGACATTTTCCAAACATTGCACCTGATAAGTTTCCACTTCCAACTTAACACACCAAGACACAAGTAAGTCTCGAAGAGACGACCATTTGCCAGTCTTGCAAACATTGTGCCCGCGCCTAGGCAGGTTCAGGAGAGCGACACATGGGCTGAATTCAAACCAACTCTTTATCATTGAGGTCCAATCACTTAAGATAATGCCATCATGGGTTTTCCAGTTGAAATCATGGTGGTTCCATAATCATAATTTGAAAAACATACCTCATTTTGATGGGTCTGAAGTGATCTTCTCCATATCTTTTTGAATAAAAACATGGGTTAATGCATGAGGTAAACCATCTTAGACCCCTGTGGGTGCACTATGATCCACTGATGTATTATTGAAGGTGTCAAATGATGACAAGGTTGTAATTGTATGATATCACATGCTATTCACCTAACATGATGTAGTCATAGGATTCCAGTTGAAATCATGGTGGTTCCAGAATCATGATTTGAAAAACATACCTCATTTTGATGGGTCTGAAGTGATCTTCTCCATATCTTTTTGAATAAAAACATGGGTTAATGCATGAGGTAAACCATCTTAGACCCCTGTGGGTGCACTATGATCCACTGATGTATTATTGAAGGTGTCAAATGATGACAAGGTTGTAATATGTTGTAATTATATGATATCACATGCTATCACCTAACATGATGTAATCATATGTAATCATAGGATTTCCAGTTGAAATCATGATGTTTCCATAAATCATGATTTGAAGCCAATACCTCATTTTGATGGGTCTGAAGTGATCTTCTCCATATCTTTTTGAATAAAAACATGGGTTAATGCATGAGGTAAACCATCTTAGACCCCTGTGGGTGCACTATGATCCACTGATGTATTTTATTGCATTGAAGGTGTCAAATGATGACAAGGTTGCAATCACCCAACACAGCTAACACAGCCAAGAAACACCAGGACATGTTGCTGCATTTGATGCATTTGGATGTAAGTTCCATAGAGCAGGTTGTGCTCAGACAAGAGTTCCCGCACTGACTGGTCGTAGGTGATGCTCTGCTCCGCGGGGCGTCTCTTGCCTGTTGGCTTTGGCCCTTTTTTCTTCTGCTCTGGTTCCTCCTCCTTGTCCTCAGTGTCTTTGCTGGAGGCGGTGTCTTTGCTGGAGGCACCAAGCTCGACTGTCATCGATTCTGGTTCAACTTCAGCAACATCATCTGGCAAAAGCTTCCCGCGGCCGCGGCCCCTCTTCTTTGCACTCGTCTTTCCAGGAGGTGTCTTGGAGAGGCTCGTCTTGCGCCTTTTCTTGGGAGGTGTACTCACTGGCACGGCAAGCTCTTGCCAACAACGGAGGTCCAATCTACCTTCCACGAACCTCTGCCATATCTGTTGCCAGAGACAATCCTCCGCGACAGCACGCCACATTGTAGCAAGCTCTGTGCGGTAGGCAGACACTATTTGCAAAACATCTTCTGGAGCTGCGTCCTGCCCAACCAGAGCACCTGCGGGAATGTTCTCACCAAATGCCATCGCAGTATGCACGCCACAATTGCCATCACCGAGCGTGGGCTTGGCAATCACCTCATGTTCTGTCCACAGAGCTCTAATGAGGTCCTCCAGGTTTCTGGACTGCACAGAGAGGTGCTCGATTTCATCTCTCAAAGATGACTTGTAAACGTCATCCTTCTCTCGTTCAGCCTTCGACTCCAGTTCTGCTATCATCTTTTTGGCCTTGTCCACATTGTCCTTGACAATGGATTCCACTAATGCATCTTTCTCCACGTCACTTGGCATTTCTGCTCCGAGCCAGCCTGGGATCCAATGAACGCAATCGGCCAAAGATGCTGATCTTGAATACAAGGGTGAGCATAAGATAGCTATTCTGGTCCTTCCGCGTGGCACCGGCTCCTCAATCTTCTGCACTTCCAAGCACAACTCTTCATCAAGGAATCCGTTTACGAAGTCTGACGCAGAACGCATCTCAACTTCACCTGCCGAACATGCAAGTAAATTCAGTCCATTTGTGACTCTGGGGACCATGTGTGGGAATATCAATCCAAAACAATGGTGAAAGAATAACTCTGAGGCGCCACTTTGATCCATTTTGGTTCAACTTTGTGTTGTTAGATGTTGTTAGCTCATGTTACTCCATGTTACTCCATGTTACTCCCACATGTTTCGACCATGAGGTAAATCAGGCCACACCATCTCAAACCCATGAGAACTCATGCCTCTGTGCCAGCAGAGCACTTTCAAGTCAAACCGGTGGCGATTGGCAAACAAAAATATGTCCGGAAATTCCAAGAAGATGCCGTTGTCACAGATGCGTCTGGCCCAAGCACGTATGTCATCAGCAGTTGAACCTGGGCATGGCAGGAAATCGAAAGCTGAGTAAGAGTATTCCCAAACTATTTCTAAATCTGTTCAGCAATGGGGTATACCAATCTATACCATCGAATCTCATTGCCATGTGTTATCACAAGGGAGCAAGGCAATTCCTACAAATCGATGTGAATCGACCATATACTTGATTGACTGGTACGCCTCACCTGTCTGAGTAATGGATTGTTTATCCGGTGTGAACCTTCAGCGCACCGCGTGCAGGTGGGTCTGGAATGGTGTTTCTGGCATACAAACCTGCAAAACACATATCAAACCTAGGGGAACTGGACCCTAGACCTTTGCAATCTGTGACAGTCTGACATACTGTCACAAAAAACTGGTCAAGGCTTCCCATCACCTAGAGTCCTAGAGTTGGGGCGTGCATCACATCTCTGGGTCTGACATGGTGTTCCCCAAAGCAACACTGTTGTAAACATTCCTCAAACCTTAAGTAACATCATCTTAGACCCTTCCAATGACAGAAACTGGAATCAAACCAAACCCAGAGTGACACTCAAGCAAGTACCCTTAATATTGAAATATAGTGGGTATATCTGGGATCACCATGGTATACCTGTGTCAAACTTCTAACACATTGGAGCGCAGCCAGGCAACGTGCAGCAAAGTGTTCATACCTGGCCTCCATATCGTCAAAGTCCTTCATGGCTCGATGCAGCAAGTCCATAGGCCCATCTTGTTCCGGTGCTCGAGGTCGCTCGCACTTCTGCGGAGTCTGCGGAGAGGTTCCACCTCAACAAGGAATGCTTCGCGTAGGTCTCAAATGTGTGGAACTATGATTTCCATTGATTTCCCCCATCTTTCCCTAATGAACGTCTAAATATGTCAAAAAACTTGGTTCCAACATGTTCCAACAAATTCAGACATTTAGACCATTGAGTCAAAAGCAGTTGAAAAGCCATCTCTGACCTATTCAAATACATATTCTAACTGGGAGAGTGCCATCCCAAACTTCGCTGCAAAATACTAAGCATCTATGAAGGTGAATCTGACTACCCACTAATATCCATCCATTCCAACTAGTTGAAGGTGACCAGTGGGACACCAGCCTTCAGGTGCTGAAGGCATCCCATCAGTCCGGTGTGAACCTTCAGCGCACCGCGTGCACGTGGGTCTGGAATGGTGTTTCTGGCATACAAACTTGAAAAACACATCTCAAACCTAGGGGAACTGGACCCTAGACCTTTGCAATCTGTGACAGTCTGACATACTGTCAAAAAAAACTGGTCAAGGCTTCCCATCACCTACAGTCCTAGAGTTGGGGCGTGCATCACATCTCTGGGTCTGACATGGTGTTCCCCAAAGCAACACTGTTGTAAACATTCCACAAACCTTAAGTAACATCATCTTAGACCCTTCCAATGACAGAAACTGGAATCAAACCAAACCCAGAGTGACACTCAAGCAAGTACCCTTAATATTGAAATACTTGAGAGGGGGGGGACGAAAGGTAGGGGGGGCAAAAGAGAGCAACAGGAAAAATATTGCCAAACTGAGATTGATACTTCTCTTCACTCAAACCTCCTGCAGAAGAAAATGTTAGCCCCAAAAAAAGCTTTGTGGGAATAGAATCAGAAACATAATGTCAAATGTAAAGTAACTTCACGCGCGCGCGCGAGCGCACGCATGTGCGGGACGTAAACATTGCGAGTCTCTATTCCCCGGCACGGCCTCAATGGGACTAGAACATCCACGATAGATCGATAGATCAATACATCGATAGATAGTTAGATAGATAGATAGATAGATAGATAGATAGATAGATAGATAAAACTATAAATAAATAAATAAATAGATGAATAAATAGATAGAGAGATAGAAGCATCGGTCGATAAATAGATAGATCGATGGCTACCTTGATCGATAAACAGATAGATAAATAGATAGATCAATAGGTAGATAGATAGATAGATAGATAGATCCAAGGATAGATAAATACATACATAGATGGACAACTAGATAGATAGATATATCGATAGATAGATGGATAAGGAGGTAGGTACAGAGTCAGAGAAAAAGAGAGAGAAAAAAATGCGGACCAGGGGGGAATCGAATGGGGGGGGGAGGGGGGGGGCCCCCCCCCCCTAAGTCTCCGTTCGTGACTCTCGGCTTTCAATTTCCGGGAAAGGAGCAGCCACCTCCCCCAGTACTAAACTAGTACTAAAGTACATAGAACTCAGGTAGCCTAGGCTACCTTTCGTGATAATGGGTATATCTGGGATCACCATGGTATACCTGTGTCAAACTTCTAACACATTGGAGCGCAGCCAGGGAACGTGCAGCAAAGTGTTCATCCTTGGCCTCCATATCGTCAAAGTCCTTCATGGCTCGATGCAGCAAGTCCACAGGCACATCTTGTTCCAGTGCTGGAGGTCGCACACACTTCCGCGGAGTCTGCGGAGGGGTTCCACCTCAACAAGGAATGCTTCGCGTAGGTCTCAAATGTGTGGAACTATGATTTCCATTGATTTCCCCCATCTTTCCCTAATGAACGTCTAAATATTTCAAAAAACTTGGTTCCAACATGTTCCAACAAATTCAGACATTTAGACCATTGAGTCAAAAGCAGTTGAAAAGCCATCTCTGACCTATTCAAATACATATTCTAACTGGGAGAGTGCCATCCCAAACTTCGCTGCAAAATACTAAGCATCTATGAAGGTGAATCTGACTACCCACTAATATCCATCCATCCCAACTAGTTGAAGGTGACCAGTGGGACACCAGCCTTCAGGTGCTGAAGGCATCCCATCAGTCCGGTGTGAACCTTCAGCGCACCGCGTGCAGGTGGGTCTGGAATGGTGTTTCTGGCATACAAACTTGAAAAACACATCTCAAACCTAGGGGAACTGGACCCTAGACCTTTGCAATCTGTGACCATCACCTAGAGTTGGGGCCTGCATCACATCTCTGGGTCTGACATGGTGTTCCCCAAAGCAACACTGTTGTAAACATTCCTCAGACCTTAAGCAACATCATCTTAGACCCTTCCAATGACAGAAACTGGAGGCAAACATAGTCAAACCAAACGCTAAGCATCTATGAAGGTGAATCTGACTACATCTGACTACCCACTAATATCCATCCATTCCAACTAGTTGAAGGTGACCAGTGGGACACCAGCCTTCAGGTGCTGAAGGCATCCCATCAGTCCGGTGTGAACCTTCAGCGCACCGCGTGCAGGTGGGTCTGGAATGGCGTTTCTGGCATACAAACTTGAAAAACACATCTCAAACCTAGGGGAACTGGACCCTAGACCTTTGCAATCTGTGACCATCACCTAGAGTTGGGGCGTGCATCACATCTCTGGGTCTGACATGGTGTTCCCCAAAGCAACACTGTTGTAAACATTACTCAAACCTTAAGCAACATCATCTTAGACCCTTCTGATGACAGAAACTGGAGTCAAACATAGTCAAACCAAACCCAGAGTGACACTCAAGCAAGTACCCTAGCAGTCAAAACAATGAAGAAAACATTTTTGAACAATCAATGCCGCTGATCTTGCGAACTATTGAATTCGATATATTCAACGAGGGGATGACCAAAGCCAAAATTTTGGAACCTGGTGAAGCTACCCGCTGAGAGACCATACCTGCAGGCGCTGAAGGCTCTCCATCGCTTGCCTTTGAACCTGAAGTGAGCATCTGTGAGGCTATGTTGGGCCTATGTGGACCAAGTGATGCCAAGTGTGGAAAAAATTGGGGACAATTATGGTCTATGTTGGTCCTAAAGGTGCTATAAGATTCCTATCCAGCACTGTGAAATGAACAACACATGAGAACACCAGAAATCTTTGGCCGCGTGTGCCAAACCCCGATGCCTTCCCAACACTGGTGGATGGGAACAAATCAAGACCACTGCTCGGCAGGCCTTCACTCAGAGTCAGTCGATGATCTAGAATGATCTAGAGACATTTGAAGACCTCTGCCCCTATAGGTCTTCTATGCAATTCCCACATCTCACTATGGAAATGTGATGCTCACAAAGCGTCGATTGAATCCATTCTCTGCCCCCAATGGCAACGCACCATCCACTCACTTGGGTTTTGTGAGCAGCCAGGACTTGTAGATAGCCTCGGCCAAGCGTTTGGGGTAAATGCTGGTTTGGGACAGCACTTTTGTTCCTGTCACCGAACCATTGCTATCCTTGACATAGAACACCTTGTCAGTACGGTTGAACTTCTTCTTCCTCAGTTTCCGCGTCAACCTTCTGGCAAAGAGATCATCTTGTTTGAGGGAATGCACCAAATGAGTTGGCTTGGCCAAGGGCCCGCCAAATAATCCTTGGTATGTTAATGTTTTCTTCAGCCAAAAGTTTTCGATGATACTTTTCCAAGGACCATACTTGAAGAGCCAGCTCCCCGATGGCTGTTCCACCATGAAGGTGCAGTCTGACCGAAACTTGAGAGCCGCCTTCAGGGCCATCGCGGCATTGATGGCGATTCTGTTTGCTAGCCTCACACTGAAATGGTCAGTGTTCCCATCCGGGGACAGTGCACTGCGTTTGTGTAAAGACGAGCTCAGGAAAATCCAAAGAGAGCATGGTGGTGCCCACATGCTAAAGCCGCCAGGCGCAAGTCCAAGGAGTAACGTCAGAAGGAAGTAGAATCCAACTTGGGTGCAAATATCCATCTGTACTGGATCATGAGCTATGTCGTATGCCGTGCTGGAATGGCCACTGTTCTTCCAAGTGGAACTCATTCTAAGTGACCGATCGAAGACCGACACCATGTCAATGTCCCGGCTTCCAACCCAATTTCGGCAGAAGCTGCGAATGGAAGGCCATTCTGCCTCACTATGATACCAGGTGGCTTCAGGGGCCACTGTGGTAGTGTCGATGGCCTTCTTCTTTGTTGTTTTCGGCATCACAGGGCACGCAGATCTATGCCCACAATTGCCCACACACACGCGACGTCTCTAAAAGGCTATTTACGTGCGTTTCCATATACTTCCCATATCTTACCATATCTTTTGCATGGTCTATGACACTTTGAATATTCTTTGGTATTCTACCACGCATGCTCATGTGCAGGTGTGTTCGGCAAATTAATTCTGGTAAAAATAATACCTACAATACCCATCAATACCCTACATGAACGATCATGGACGTACCAAAGGAACATGATCATACTTATTAATGATCAATGAAAAGTGTTGATACTTGCTGGAGATTGTTGGAGCCAGACAGCGTCATGTCTCAAATAAGTGCTGAAAGAATGATCAAACCCACGCAGAGCATGTGGCCACCGTGAAACTCGAACAGACACCAACATGTCTCAACCACATGGTGGCAATGTGTGAAAGATAACACATCACCAATGAGGGTTCTTCATCTGGGGGTTGGACCACCAAAATCTTCAGGCTTGCCATCACCTGAAGTTGGGGCGCACATCACATCTCTGGGTCTGACATGGTGTTCCCCAAAGCAACACTGTTGTAAACATTCCTCAAACCTTAAGCAACATCATCTTAGACCCTTCCAATGACAGAAACTGGAGGCAAACATAGTCAAACCAAACACTAAGCACCTATGAAGGTGAATCTGACTACCCACTAATATCCATCCATTCCAACTAGTTGAAGGTGACCACTGGGACACCAGCCTTCAGGTGCTGAAGGCATCCCATCAGTCCAGTGTGAACCTTCAGCGCACCGCGTGCAGGTGGGTCTGGAATGGTGTTTCTGGCATACAAACCTGCAAAACACATCTCAAACCTAGGGGAACTGGACCCTAGACCTTTGCAATCTGTGACAGTCTGACATACTGTCAAAAAAAAAACTGGTCAAGGCTTCCCATCACCTAGAGTCCTAGAGTTGGGGCGTGCATCACATCTCTGGGTCTGACATGGTGTTCCCCAAAGCAACACTGTTGTAAACTTTCCTCAAACCTTAAGCAACATCATCTTAGACCCTTCTGATGACAGAAACTGGAGGCAAACATAGTCAAACCAAACCCAGAGTGACACTCAAGCAAGTACCCTAGCAGTCAAAACAATGAAGAAAACATGTTTAAACAATCAATGCCGCTGATCTTGCGAACTATTGAATTCGATATATTCAACGAGGGGATGACCAAAACCAAAGTTTTGGAACCTGGTGAAGCTACCCGCTGAGAGACCATACCTGCAGGCGCTGAAGGCTCTCCATCGCTTGCCTTTGAACCTGAAGTGAGCAGCAAGTCATTGGTTACAAAGTTTTGGAACCTGGTGAAGCTACCCGCTGAGAGACCATACCTGCAGGCGCTGAAGGCTCTCCATCGCTTGGCTTTGAACCTGAAGTGAGCAGCAAGTCATTGGTTACAAAGTTTTGGAACCTGGTGAAGCTACCCGCTGAGAGACCATACCTGCAGGCGCTGAAGGCTCTCCATCGCTTGGCTTTGAACCTGAAGTGAGCAGCAAGTCATTGGTTACATGTTGTTATTTGGCGTTGAAACAGCTACATATATATAAGATATTATAAGATATTATAAGATATTATAAGATTGGATATAATAAAATTAGATTGCTTTACATTGCTTTCCATCTGACATGACACCGACTGAAACTGGCTCACGTCTTTCCGGTGCAAGCTGGCCTAACAAATCATTCAAGAGAGGTGCGGGGAATGTCCACGTTTGTGGTGACCCCAATTCAAGCATAGCCCTACGGTCCATGCACACGTCTCAACTCTATCCAAAACCATGAAAAGCCTAATGACAACACTACTGACATCTACTGACAACACCTGCAAATATCTGCAGGGTAAACCATCCCAAACTTAGAAGCGCCGGTTTCGATAAGTACCATCATTGTTAAGGCCCCTCTGCGACAACATGCCATCCAGCAAGTAGGGAAGCAGGTGCACGCAAAAACCCACCAGCAATCCCGTCATCTCCTCAGACAATCCTGGGTACGTCTGCATACCAGTCACAAGTTGCGAAGGCTCAGGAAGACGATTCATCCTCCAATTGGCCAAGAGCTCTGGCGGCGTTTGAGGCACACGGGTCAACGGTGATGGTGGTGGTGGACCGGGTGGAGTTCCTGGCATCCGTGGCAGTGTGGGATGTGCCACTGGTGAATCAGGTTCAGACGCTCGGGGCCAGTCGAAAGTGAAAGGGCTTCTTTCCCAATCATCCTCAGCTGGAATCATCCACGGCGAGGACACACCATCGCTGCCATTGCTGCCAGCCTCCGAAGTCTCCAAACCAAGCTCATTGGCAGGCGCAGGGCACGTGCATCCCCTTTGCAAACAAGTCAAGGGGCAAGTATCTGTCACCCTGGGCATGACGAGCCTGCCCTCCACCACATCATTGGGAAATGCTGCGTTTGAAGATCGCTTTGCCATGGCACTTGGAGGGAAAGTATGGGAAAGGTCAGCAGTTTTCCAAAATCTACAATAGTTCTCCAGCTGCACTTTGGCCCAAATGGACTGGTTGCGGCTGCTGATTATCAAGACTTCTCAAGGTGTTCTCGAGTTTGACAAGCAAAAACAAATGGGATAGATGAACATGGTGAAAATTTCCTGTGATATCATTTCATAACCAAACTCTCTTCAAGGATGAGGCCCCGCACTTTTCTCAAGGATGCCTTTTGGCACAGCGCTCCCGGTGGCCGTACCAATCGGCGCAATTCCACCTCAACGTGGTCATTGCGCAACCCTATGTAGGGGTGATATTGGGTGATGATCTAGTGGCAAACAATATGTGCGTTGACCAGGGCTCGAAATAGAAGTTCTGATGGCATTCAATCCCAAGAATGCGCACATATGATCATATATGCACATCAACGAAGTGTCTCCAAAGACCACCCTACCCAATCCTACCAAATAATATTTCATATTCAAATATATTCAATTCCAAATCTTCCCAAAGAACACTGGTAACCTGCTGCATGCATCTGCATGCTGCACCTTTCTGTCCATTTGAAGATGTCTGCGTCTTGGTTCCTGGCAGCAGGGCGTGCACCACATAGGTGGGTCTAACATGTTTTGACCTAAGAGTGAACCCCAGGAAGTCACTGTTTTATCATGGGGAAATCCATCCTAGACCCCTGATGAAAATGAAAATCTCTGAGAACAACCAAACTGAAGAGACCCTAAATTCTCCTCTTCCAATGAAACCACCCTACCCAATCCTACAAAAAAATCATTTTCAATTCCAAATCTTCCCAAACAAACTTTATTATTATGCATCTGCATGCTGCACCTTCCTGATCTTCCTGTCCCTCTGCAGATGTCTGCGTCTTGGTTCCTGGCAGCAGGGCGTGCACCACATAGGTGGGTCTAACATGTTTTGACCTAAGAGTGAACCCCAGGAAGTCACTGTTTTATCATGGGGAAATCCATCCTAGACCCCTGATGAAAATGAAAATCTCTGACAACAACCAAACTGAAGAGACCCTAAATTCTCCTCTTCCAATGAAACCACCCTACCCAATCCTACAAAAAAATCATTTTCAATTCCAAATCTTCCCAAAGAACACTGGTAACCTGCTGCATGCATCTGCATGCTGCACCTTCCTGTCCCTCTGCAGATGTCTGCGTCTTGGTTCCTGGCAGCAGGGCGTGCACCACATAGGTGGGTCTAACATGTTTTGACCTAAGAGTGAACCCCAGGAAGTCACTGTTTTATCATGGGAAAATCCATCCTAGACCCCTGATGACCATGAAAATCTCTGAAAACAACCAAACTGAAGAGACCCTAAATTCCCCTTCCAATGGAACCACCCTACCAGACCCATCCAAATCCTAGAAAAACATATGTCATGTTCAATTCCAAGTCTTCCCAAAGAATACTGGTAACCTGCGGCATGCATCTGCATGCTGCACCTTCCTGTCCATCTGCAGGTGTCTGCGTCTTGGTTCCTGGCAGCAGGGCGTGCACCACATAGGTGGGTCTAACATGTTTTGACCTAAGAGTGAACCCAAGAGAGTCATTGATTTATCATGGGAAAATCCATCCTAGACCCCTGATGACCATGAAAATCTCTGAAAACAATCAATCTGAAGAGACCCTAAATTCCCTTCCAATGAAACCACCCTACCAAATCCATCCAAATCCTACAAAACCATATTTCACATTCAATTCCAAATCTTCCCAAACAACACTGGTAACCTGCTGCATGCATCTGCATGCTGCACCTTCCTTTCCCTCTGCAGATGTCTGCGTCTTGGTTCCTGGCAGCAGGGCGTGCACCACATAGGTGGGTCTAACATGTTTTGACCTAAGAGTGAACCCAAGAGAGTCATTGATTTATCATGGGAAAATCCATCCTAGACCCCTGATGACCATGAAAATCTCTGAAAACAATCAATCTGAAGAGACCCTAAATTCCCTTCCAATGAAACCACCCTACCAAATCCATCCAAATCCTACAAAACCATATTTCACATTCAATTCCAAATCTTCCCAAACAACACTGGTAACCTGCTGCATGCATCTGCATGCTGCACCTTCCTTTCCCTCTGCAGATGTCTGCGTCTTGGTTCCTGGCAGCAGGGCGTGCACCACATAGGTGGGTCTAACATGTTTTGACCTAAGAGTGAACCCAAGAGAGTCACTGTTTTATCATGGGAAAATCCATCCTAGACCCCTGATGACCATGAAAATCTCTGACAACAACCAAACTGAAGAGACTCTAAATTCTTCTCTTCTAATGAAACCACCCTACCAAATCCTACAAAACCATATTTCATATTCAATTCCAAATCTTCCCAAAGAACACTGGTAACCTGCTGCATGCATCTGCATGCTGCACCTTCCTGTCCCTCTGCAGATGTCTGCGTCTTGGTTCCTGGCAGCAGGGCGTGCACCACATAGGTGGGTCTAACATGTTTTGACCTAAGAGTGAACCCCAGGAAGTCACTGTTTTATCATGGGAAAATCCATCCTAGACCCCTGATGACCATGAAAATCTCTGAAAACAACCAAACTGAAGAGACTCAAGTGTTATATATATTTAAATATATATATGGGTGTTTCTCTTTATGGGGGATGCTCGAAACAACCTTTGAAGGGATTTTATAAACTATTTTCGAGCATCGCCCATTTTGAAAGAGAGCAACTGCACCTTTCGCTTCCATTTTCTTGCGAAGCCTTGCAGCAACCGCTGCTCGTTCCTGGAGGATCGAGCACAAAGAACAAAACAAAGCACTTAAAAATCAACGACTGATCGTTGTGGTTCGAAAATCATCTTTCCCCATCTTTCCCCTACAACACCCGCGTGTCCTTCACCCGAGGAATCTCGCTCAGCCATTCCCAATCAACTCCTTTTCCCGGCCTGTGGCGGTTTGTCTGATTCTACTTTCGGTCACTGATTGGAATGCCAAACGATTTAATCAAAAAGAAGAGAAATATTCAACACACGAGTCTGCAGTCTAGAAGCGTGAGTCCCACATGCACGGACTTCTTCCCAGTGACGCTGACTTTCTGGCAACGGCTCCTGCCCAAAGTGTCAAGTTTACATGCTACGACGTTGTTCCAGGGTACCGCACTGTCCTGTGGAATTGTTTGCCTATGTTTGCCTCTATCAATCCATCACACCCCCAAGAAAAAAATCAATCAATTCAGGAGATCGGCAAGGACAAAGATATGTGTGCCCCTCTCCTCCACAACTGCATATCTGAAAACCACTCCGGGTCAGTGGTCTCATCTCCGCACTTATCCTCGGTTTTTTTTGGCTGGAACCAAAAGTTTGGCCTTTTTTTTTTTGGCAAATCCATCGCAACCTAGTAGTATTAAAAACATATTAAACCATTAAAACCATAACCTAAATCATAAGTCATACCTTATTGTCAGCAATATCTCAGGAATCCTCAGCACATACGAATTTGCAATAGTTTGCATCCAACATTAGGTACTTTCACTTCCATTTCCTGTCTTCCCAAATGACCTGAACATTACCAAGCGTCACAGCGCTTAGGCTTAGCAGGTTTTGCAGTGGCGGCCATTGTTGTGAGATGTTGTGAGCCAAATGGCTACTGGCCAAGCACCTATGATGTTGCTTCATCACGATTCATCCTTCGCATACCTTCACAGGGTCTAACATGAAGTTCTGTATGACTTAGTCCAAAAGGTCTAGACTGAATTTCCTTCTCTGCTACCAAGGGTCTGACATGGTATCGGGATAGGGTCTGAACTGAATTCAAGGCATGTCAGACCTTTTAAAAAATGATCCCTAGGTGGACCATGTTAGACCCTCTAGTAGTTGAGGGTATTAATATATAATATAATATATAATATAATATATAATAATATAACATTTATATATAGATAGATATCAGCAGCCTCCCGGCCCATGATGAGATGGTGCATGGAGGATCATCAGTAAACTACAGGAACCCAGTTTCTAATAGCTTTCACTCTTGTTTTAGGTTGGCTCAAACCATCTTTATAGCAACTATAGTAACTATAAGTAACTATAGTATGTAACTATAGTTCAATCATGTTTTTCATACTTCTCAATCATTCTTGAACTACTGTATATAGTTCAATTATAATCATGTTCAATATATGAATCTCCCAGAAACCCACCAAAAAATGCCGCTCGCCACGCCTGGCCCTTTCCCGGCGCTGCAGGTGCAACTGTTGTTGCTGGCGCCACTTCACTGTGCACGCTTGGGGGAACTTGGACCTGCCACAGGTGCCACAGCTTCAGTCGGCATGTTTTTTGGATACGTTTTTTGGACTGCTTTAGATTGGATATATTTTGCTATGGTGTTTATTGGTTTTTAAATGTGTCCACTATGATGTCAACTGTTTGTCAATAAAGATGGATATACAATATATATATATATGTATATATATATATATTATATATATATATTATATACATATATACATAGTATAAAACTGGTTTGAAATCCGGCTGTGGTGGGTTGGCCATGGTTCTCAAATGGATTTAGTACCTGAAAATGTAGGGAGAGACCATCTGAAATGCGATTAGTTATCATTAATTATGTGCATTCATTTAAACTATGCCATTTTAACCACACCCAAATGGACGCTAAAGCAGTTGGCCATACAAGAGAAACAGCAAACAAACAACGTTGAAGAGACTTGAAGAGACTTGAAGAGACCACGCACACCCCGGCCTTGAGTTTGAAATGGTTCAACTGTCTAGATAGACTAGTTTGAAACTCTGGGTTTGGGGGCCCATGAGACACTGCTAAATTAATGTGGTTTTGATGGGTTAGCAAGACATCGAAACTAAGGATGGCATGCCAATGGTGATGGTTGTCCAATTGAAACATCAACCAACCATTCTGAAGTTGGTCGTAAGGGTATCTATGTAACCACTTCATAAGGAAGTTGCACCCACAAAAAGCAAACAGGCTAGTGTCAAAGATAAAGAAAAAAACCATACAATTGGTTTGTCCTTCTGTCCACCATGAAATGTTGATCTAAACTTTGGACACCACTCTCTATACGTAAGCTTCAAACATGGATACTCTCCAGTGCCATACAGTGAGTCTTAGTATCTTCCCAATGGTCCTTGTCTCCCAAGGGCAAGTTTAAAGGGAATGATCAGTGGCGAGGTTGTCCAAGATCAATGCCTCACACTGAAAACCCTTCACAAAATTTGGGAAGTTTCTAAGTCATTGGGGGACCCTGAGTTATCATCTGAGTATATCTGAGTTGTCTTTTTCCATGGGAAAACCGAAGCTTTTAGGGTACCCCATTTTTCATCATCCTTACAAGTCACCGTGCCCAAAATCGCTCCCAGACCGCAACGTCCATGGCGAGCCTTTGGGGTTTGAAACGCACCAGCACCTGCCATGACTGCTGACTGCTACCATGATTAGTCATATGACCAACCGGGATTTCACCAACAAAACAATGAGAACTTGGCAGAGCTGGTGAAACTTATTTGACTAGAGGCTCCTCATGTCAAAAAAAGTGCACAGATTAGACCTTTATCGGATCATGGTAGTCCCCTGCACCACTCTTACTATGTATTTAACATTATTTGACTATCTTATAACAAAGCTTCAAATCTCCAAACCTGATGTGTTGGGACATCAACAAAGTCCGTCTCCCACCATATTTTTGCATCATTTCTGAAGCCTGGAACAGTCCCGCCCAGCCACCTCTGCATTGTCGTGTGCATGATAGGACCGCAAGGTGTGCCTGCAACCAGGCAGGCATTCAGGTATGGGTCGGAAAAATTAGAGAATCAAACCATCTGAGTGAAAAAAACATGTTCAAATTGTGATGAGAATATTATCATATCAACAATGATTATATGTTCGAGCTATAAATGGACGAAAATATGACGTGTCCCATCAGTTTCCATCAGCAGGTATGATTAGATATGATCAGGTCCAATTCTACCTTCGTCCTCAAGGTGCCAGGGAAACATACTAGACTCCAAGCAATAGTACACATCAACGTCGTTGGATTAATTACCAGACGTTGAAAATATCTATTATATGCGTAAGTCTAAGTATTGAAGCAATCTTCCATGTTCAAAGTTGCTAGATCGCAAAGCAAAGTCCACTGCGTCAGCACAGCCAGCGCCATCAGCGCTTTGTTCAGTAAAAATAGGTCCGGCGACATGTTTCAAAGCAGAAGCTCTGCAAAAAGCACAACCAAAATGGATGTGATACGGTGGATGGAAGAAATCCTGCACCAGTTGATAGGTGGTTTATATCCCATTAGGTTTCAACCATCCAAGGTGATGCAGGATTTCTTCCATCCACAGTATGATGCTATATCTGGGAATAAGATATACCGTATCGCCAATCTAGTTCCTCCATGAGAGAAGAGCACTACCGGGTACTAGATGGTACTAATTATATACTCTCTATATTTTTCGGATCTTTCAGACATTCGAAAATCAACCACCTTTTTATGCTCATTTTGTGCCGCGGAAACACCACTTGCCGCGTCGCCTGTCGTTTCCCATTTTGCAGCGCTTGCAAAAGAGGATCTGATTGGGCGCAGGGACACCTGTGATCTCCTCCGAGACGTGGGATACGTGGTGTTGCTTCAACTGTTGTGGATCGAGATATGGAGGTTTCTGTTTTCTAAAATGGGGGTACCCCTATATAAATCATCTATTTTAGAATGGGATTTTCCATGAAATGAAGCATCATGAACCATCCAGCGAGCGACCGGGGTACCCATGGGTGTCGAGTCGTTGGGTGACCAACAGGATGATTGGATGATGAGGCTTTCTGAGCCTGAGATGTTGACTTGTAATAACTTGTAACCAATCATTTTCCCAAGGTCCGTATAGGCTGTAGCTTCATTGAGTCTTGAAAAAATCACCACACTCATTTTGACACGAGAAATGAATCTAGTATTGCGGTACCTTGAGTGCCAAAGGAGAATACACCCATCTTTCTCCCTTGGAGCTTTCACTCGTCAACATTGATCCTGACTTGGTGTGGGGATACTTCTGAAAATTTGTGCGACCGAGGAGAACCACACGTGACCCTCAATCTATCAGCAAACATGGAACGACAAAGCTAAAGAAATGATAAACAGGGTATGTTATCTGTACATGCTAAGTTGCTGCAATCCCTAGATGAAGCTTAAAATTTTGGATCATTCGGAGGAGTCTTAGCCACCAGATTTGGTCACCGGCCTGTTGAGGTACAAGGTGAGGCGCCCTAGTTACCCTAGTTATGTTTGTTGCTTTATAGCCCCAACTAATATCATGTAACAAAAAATCCCCCTAATCCAACATTTCACTATCCTAAATCAGCTATATTCAGCTATACATCATCATTGTTCATCCCAAAAATCCCCATGATTTGGTGAGCTATCACCGGCTATCACCATATTTTCCCAAGGGATCCCCGAAAGGTGTCCTCAATGATGCCCTTGAGCCCAGCGGAGTCTTCGGCGCAGGGCCCAATCCGGAGATCCGGATCCACTTGGAGGGTGTACTTGTCACCTGCCCCGTTACGCCACGCCACCGTTACGCCACCGTTACGCCACAAAACGGTAGGAAAAATGGGGATCAGATGGTGACCAGAAACCAAGAAACATGATAAAGCGAAGTTGGTTTAGACCTATAGATAGGTGAACAGGTGAACTAGACGATGGTTTATGAGTTATTGATATGAATGAACTATACTGGTTGGTGGTGTAGCCACCCCTCTGAAAAATGATGGAGTTCGTCAGTTGGGATGAGTATTCCATTCCCAACTGAATGGAAAGTCATCAAGTTCCATGGTTCCAAACCACCAACCAGATATTAGTAAAACAATGCTGGGTTGATGTCCCCAAACGATAGCTAAATTGACTTTACAAGCAACGGATAACTGGGGACACTCTGTGGGGATCATGGAGCTATGAACCGAACCGGGGGATATGCTTTGTCCAAGAGCTGGGTAAGATGATCCCAGCTACCCTGCGGTAATCAAGCATGGCTGGCTGGAAAAAACCTACTTAATATATATGGGCCACGGTCAATACTTAAGGTTTTTTGGCTCCAAGTCATCAATTTTTGAAGAGTGTATGAACGTTTTCCAAGCCCCAGCTCAATTTCCAAAAAATAAAGATTGCTCGAATACTACTCTCCAACCTAAATTTTGGCTGTAGCTCATATATATATACATACATATATCATCAACAAAAAGATGTTTAGGTCCGTAACACACATGGGATAATTTCACAAAAACACACCACCGACGAACTTCAGGTCCGCTTCCCGGACCTGTGTCCATGAAGTTCAACGTCACCAAGACCTCAGATGCGACCAGTTTCGCCTCGTCAAGTGGATCTATATAGTGGTAAACCAACTGGCAACTGGCATAAAAACACCAGGTGGTGCCCCATAGTTATAGCCAACTTAATCTATAGTGGTGCCAAAAATGTTATCTAGCCAGTTTAATCTATATCTCCAATAACTATGGTTTGTGGTAGAGATATGTGTAGTTAGCCAGGTCTATAAAGCAACTTATACCTCGGGGCAGCGCCTTGCATGTGTGACCCCGCAGAAGTTAAACGTGGTGGCAGGTAAGACTGATCTGGGCCATCCTTTGATTGCTTGGATGGGCTGGGATGGCTCAGGGTTAACTAATAGTTGAGATATACCCTCATTTACCCTCTGGTAATTTAACATAGCTATTGAAAAATGGCCATTTATATGCCATTTCTAGTGGATTTTCCCATTAAAGATGGTGATTTTCCATAGCTATGTTAAATTACCAGAGGGTAACTGGCGAGATATATTGAGATGTACTGTGAATAAGTTTCTATCCATGAAAAAAATCATCCATCCTCGCTGGTGAACTTGGTATCCCAGTATTCCCGATAGTAGACTCAGGTAGACTCAGGTAGAGTCTCTGCTGCTTTGAAGAATAATCCCCAGTGTTGTTGGATGTTATCCTCTGGTAAACATACAAAAAGCTATTGAAAATGGCCATTTGTAGTGGATTTACCCAATAAAAATGGTGATTTTCCATAGTTACGTAAACGTTTACCAGAGGGTATCTCTATTGTTGCTGGATGTTACCCTTCAACCGAGGCAAAATCAGCCACAAAATCAGCACTCACCCATTCAAGTCATCGGGATCAATCGGTGTTGTCCGGGTAAATTAGAGTGACTCAACATGATTCCACCTAAAAAGCAAAGGCCATTTGAAGATCGTTACCCTATGTTATCCAAAGCAGAGACCATTTGAAGATAGTTACCTTATGGTATCCTAATCCACAGTATGACTTTACCCGGTTTTTGTTGACAGGGCCAGGGCCAAACCTGGAGCCAAGGAACTTCGCTCTTGGACTTTGGGAGTTTCTTTCGACCAGCTTCTGTTGCAGAGACCAGAAAACCCGCAAAAAAACGCCGGCAACGTGGCAATGGAACAGCCCTGTAAGTGGAGGCTTTAATGGGACAATTACCCTCTGGTTATGACTAACAGTTCGCTATTGAAAATGGCCCAGTCGAAATAGTGGATTTTCCCATTAAAAATGGTGATTTTCCATAGTTATGTTAGTTTACCAGAGGGTATCCATGATTGGTGGTAATACGGTGGCTTTGGAACTTCAACTGAACTTCTTGGTTCATGGGTTGGATGCATTACTAATGCATTACCACAAGAACGTGGCCGTTCTGATGCCAACAAAATGCGATATCTTCAGTTTCAGGCATCTTGCCAACCTTTCAACACCGAGCCTGGAGCAATGGATTTCAAGGTTTATGTATCGTTTGGATATATATTGGTTCTTTATTGTACACACATATTATATTTTATAATACATAATATATATATATATACATATATGTATATATTATATATTATAAATCACATATATATATAATCTAATATAATCCTTTTCCGCTTAGGCATAGCTTTGGACTCATTTGAGTTGTTCGAGTGACAGGGAGATGCAAGATCAAAATCACTATAGTCTATAGAGTCATTATGTAGTATTTCACTGTCCTTCTACATGGCAAAAGGAAATCTAACGGGGACAACAAACCAATCTTCAGCGGCAGTCAAAATCCAGCATCTATTATACATGGTGGAGTTGTTTGAGGTCATAGTAGAGTGGTTCTTGGAGCCCGGACCACTTGTTGATCCAAACACATATCATGTTATATATTTATATATATACACACACCCTCTGGTAACTTAACATAGCTATTGAAAATGGCCATTTATAGTGAGTTTTCCCATAAAAAAATGTTATTTTCCATAGTTATGTTAGTTTACCAGAGGGTTTATAAATGAAAATTGCATAATATTGCCCCCAAGGAACAAATTGACTGGCCGTGTCTTAAGTAAGACAGTCTCCTTGTCACAGGTTTTGGGGATTGTGTGCCAATCTCCAGACATAAATCGTCCAATGCTGGTTGGCAACACTTCGGTCGAGTAACTTCTTCCCAAATTATGCTAAATAAGAATCCATAAACCCACTCTTCGCCAGTCAGGCTACCAGTATCTACTAATCTTATCTCACCTTCATTTGTAGTGTCGTTCGTTTGTTTGTTTAAAAAACAAAACACGTGCATGTTGATTTAAAACATCCTGACATGGCTACTCATAGATTCTTTACAAACACTATTCTGTTTGCTGGGTGGTATAGAACCCAATTTGTGGCAAAATAGTTAAAATAAATGAAGTAAGTACACTTCACCAAGGTCTACCCACTTCTTCATGTCAAAAAAAACACATATATGTATATATATATAATGGTGAAACATCCATCATGTTAAATCATGTGAAAAAACATTGGGCACTCCAGGTGTTACCACTGCATACCCTCTGGTGTCACCAAACATGGTTGGCTTGGAAATCCACAAACTGAAATGAAGGTCTTAATGAAAAAAGCAGTTAGAAAATGCCAGTTAATATACTGTTAATAATGGTTAATATATGATTATTATATGGTTAATGATGGTTAATAATAATCTGGTTGGTGGTTTCAACCCTACCCCTCTGAAAAATATGAAAGTATATGAGTTCGTCAGTTGGGATGATGACATTCCCAAACTGAATGGAAAGTCATAAAAGCCAGGTTCCAAACCAACAACCAGATATATAACCATCATATTCCCATTGTTCTTGGTTCAAAAATAAAAATGTTCCAAACCATCAACCAGAACTGGTTTATAAACCCCATGAACTATAGATATATCACCTATAAAACATAGGTATTGGAGTTATGTTCACCAACTGAACGCTATCTTAGGATTTCTGCAGCTTCAGCTGGCCTGGCGTTACCTGTTGAGCCTCCTTCCTGCGACCTATGGAGTGGTTTTTGGACAAGTGGCGTGGCTGGTATAGCTGGATGATTTAGCTATCATAGTTCTGAGTTTTCCATACTTAAACCATAGTTAACCAGCTAAATATGATTTAGCTATCAAAAATTATGGTTTTCCATAGTTCTGAGTTCTGAATGTTCAGTTCTCGCTCAGCTAGCCACTTAGTAACCCCACAATTATGATGTTGCTATGTCAAAAAAAACGGAGGGTAAGTGGCACTCCCACCCCCCCATTGTGGAACGTCCTTTGTAGTTCACCCCAGGTAAGTGGGTTATAAACCCAAATACACTTGGTCCAACTCTAATTACTTCATCCGCCTCTAAATGTGATCATAAAGAAAATCATAAGCCTCACATTTAGAGTATGACTGGGATTTAGAGTATGATGGTGATATGTGATCATTACTCATCCACTGACTGGGGAAAGCCACCAAGTATGAAAAGGGATTTACACCAGGCAACCCCCAGCTTCTCATATCACCATCGCCTGGGGGTTTCCCCACTTACGAAAAGTTGCTACTGGTGGTGGTGCCCTCGGAATCGCTAGGTTGATTAACGTAGATCCAACAAAATTCTTGGGTTTATCATCCATTTAGTACAATTAGTGAGGCCCCCGGCCACGATAGCGTTCAGTTGGGGTTCACATAACTCCAATTTCACGAACTGGTTTATGGTACAGTACTTATAACGAACTAGTTACTGGGGCTTTTGTCAACCAACGTTCACATCACGTTTGGGGGCCTCACATAGATTGGGATTCACCATTTTAAACCATCCATTAGGATCATCCAGTAGGATTCACCATCCATTTTAGATCCAATAACCGTTGGGTATCCTATTGTAGATAAACAAGTTATCATCCATTTTTATAGAATCTGTTGGGTATCCATTTTATGCTAATACTATAACTGTTGGGTATCCATTTGTTCATCCATGTATAGGATCCTATAATAGTGAATCATACATCCAACTATGGGGATACCTCCATAGATAGGGTCGCCACTGAGAACTTCACGATTCAGAAAAACCAAACGAACGAAACGTTGGGAGGCCCAGGCTAAATGGCATAGATAGATTGATAGATAGATAGATAGATAAGATAAGATAAGATAAGATAAGATAAGATAAGATAAGATAAGATAATACAAGATAAGATAAGATAATATAAGATAAGATAAGATTAGATTAGATTAGATAGATAAGATTAGATTAGATTAGATTAGACTAGATTAGATTAGATTAGATAGATAGATAGATAGATAAATAGATAGATAGATAGATAAATAGATAGATAGATAGATAAATAGATAGATAGATAGATAGATAAATAGATAGATAGATAGATAGATAGATAGATAAATATATATATAGAGCATTATATTCAGCTGGGTTTATAGACTAGGGTGCACCACCTTGTAGAAATTAGGATATCATATGATATCACTTCATGATATGATGATGGAGAACAACAAACTCTTCAAGTTGAACCATCCTCGGGGAACCTGTTGCTGCAAACCACAAATCAACCAAGCTCCTAGATCATTGTTTCAAGGGGCTATACATTTGACTAGCTGATATCCGATGGAAAACAACGTGCTGAAACCCGTGGGCGAAACCTACGTAAGGATGTGCATCCCAGGAATCGTAGGTGAGTAATAAACATAATATAATTCAGCTACCTTGCTATAAATTCTATATCCCATTTAGACTAGTGGGCTGGCTATGAAACATGGCAGTGCAATTTTTCCTGCTTTTAGCACCAACCAGTTGATCTGAAAAAAATCCCCTATCCTAATCCCAAAGATATTCAGGGTTATTATCCCATGAATCCCGAAAAAAATCCCAATATCCCCATGAAATTCCCATTAAAATCTCCATGAAACCAGGCACCATGACCATCACTTCCACCCTGCCCGGATGCCTTGGGAAGGTGCACTGGCACATCTCGCCATTTCCTGAAACCCCATTGGATCCCGCAAAAAATGCGGATTTCACCAGCAAACAATGGGAAATATAGGATATTTTGCCTCAATAAAATGGTGATTTGATGGGATTTGATGGGATTTAACGGTGATTTGAGGGGACTTAATTGTGATTTAATGGGATTTGATGAGATTGACATCATGGGATCTTAGTTCGTGAACTTGGCATCTACATAAGTCACATAACTGTCGGCTTTCTGTAAGATATATTGATACTTAATGTAGGTTATCAACAAACATAACTGGGCACCACCTTGTACCACTCCAACTGAGGTTTTTTTGGATGCGCATCCCATCTGAGTCGCATATGTTATACGCAAATAGGCTCGTCCTCTATTCAATGGCCATTCCAGGATCCTACATAAGGCCTATGTAAGGGAATATCCCCACAAAATATGGCCTTATAAGGTACAGTACCTCCAATTTAGGATCCTGGAATTCGCATTGATCTATCAGTTCTGAGGATGTCTGAATCAATGAGACCGCAAGGTCCGCTATAGGTGGCTAAGTATCTGTTTTTGAAGATGTTTGAAATTCCAAGAGTTCACAAGCATGATGGCAAGAAGAACACCCAACATACAACCATATCCAAATCGGTCACCCCTCAGGATGTTTGTTCCTGAGCTTCAGCAGCCCCAATGACTTGCCGCAAATGGATAGTTTAAACATCCCAAATGGTATAGAGTTTTTGTTGTTTTATAATTGTGTGATATTATGTGTACCACCACATCACAATTCGTACCTGTCATATGTTTTTTTCTGCAAGCTCCTGCATCACATGCTGCTGATGATTTGTTCTGACAAGCAGCAAGTATCACAGCCCGAGGCAAGGCTAAGGCACAGCAATACCAAAATGGGTTCCACCAAACTCTGGTGATAAATCATCAGTAATCAGTTTCTGTTTCTAATCTATATTATATTTGTTTGGGTATACACCATTTTCAGACACACCCAGTTCATATATTCAGTTAGTTGTGTATCCAATTATATTTTCCATTATATGTGCACATTAAAACACCTCATGATATCTCCCCATTCTATCCTATATTTGTTGGTGAAATCACCCATGTTCAGACACACCCATCAAGCAGATAGATATCCCCCATGATTGTTCTCTCAATGTTCATTTAGTGTGGAAAATCGTCATCTTCATAGCTTAAATCATCATTTCTTTGAACTTTACAACCCAATTTTCCTTGGTATATTTCTGCTGGTTATACCGAAAACCAATTCCAATTTTCGGTCTGTAAATCCACCCCCCTATCGGTCAATCCTGGGAGGATGCCATGGCATCACTTTCTTTGGGCTTTCCTCGGCGGTTTTTACCACCGACAACACGGATTTGACGGCATTTGGTGGAGACTTCATCACCACAAATGATAAGCAAACAATGGATGGGAAGCGATGGTTTTTACCTTGAATATATAGGTGTTCCTCTACATTTTCCCTTGTATAAACCGATTCTGGGAATGGGGATGTTTTCATTGGGGCATGACCACTATACATACTATACATACATTACCACCGATCAAAATGAATTTGTGAAGTGACAGCTCGGGCTCGACGGCTCGGACCCGGATTTCTTATTGTTCTACTTTTTTTTCCCGAAGCACCCCCCCTGTACATCTGTAGTTGCTCGTCACGATTTTCTTTAAGAAAGGATATAATTCATCATTTGGAACACACCAACACCTATCTTTCCATGCCCAACTTTGTATACCTTCAAAAAAAACTGAATAGAACTGATCAACTGGCTTTGCTGGAATGATCTTCCCACCAGCAATATGGATAATTTTCCAAGTTGTTCTACCTACCCGCAGCTCTTTCCCAGGTTTACCCGTTGGCTCCATCCCTTCAGTTTCAGTCACTGAAATAGTACTTGATGCGTTCCGCTTCTCGAGCCTAGAGCTGGGGGAAAGTACCGCTGACCCCATACCAACATGGGTCGGCTATGGGTTCAAATATATGTTTTTGTTCAATGATTTGTTCTTATATTTGTAAGTATGTGTCATGTTGTATGAAAATAATGTCACAGCTGAAGAATCTTGGTCATTTCCAAAAATTAGCCTAGAACACGCAAAAATGTCTGATTAATCCCGACATCAACGCAACACATTCCCTCACTATATAATACAAAAGGTGAGAATCCCACTCTCACCCATTCCATCCATGATGCTATAGTGTTCACATGCACGACTGATTCATCTTCAGGGTGCATGCTGATACCGATTCCAGATGTGCATCAGTATATAGATAGATGGTTTGAGGTTCAATCACTGCTTAATTGGATGGATTTCAAATATATACAAATATCAGCATATGTATATATATATAATGTATATAATACAATAGAATTGTTTGTTTGTTTATATGTATATGTGATTATTATTATTGTCATCATTATTATTATTACACATTATTACATATTTATTATTATTATTCTTATTGTTATTGTTATTATTTTAATTATATATACATATTTGTATATCACCAGCACCTTGGCGTTTTTTCGGGTTCTTGGGGTATCCTCTGACCGTCGACCTCGTAGTCCTCCCGGGCAGCGCGCGCCGCCCATTGCTCCCTCTCGGCCGCCGCTGAATCCAGAGAGCTGCCGGGAGTGGCCTGGACGAGAGGTGAACGCTTGGCTTGATGCTAGATATATAATTATATGTATAGTCTTATTTATAATATATATATATATGTAACATATATTATATATAATACATATATATATATTATAAATAAGACTATACATATAATTATATATATATGTATTATGTATATATATATATATATATGTGTAGTTCTAATGGGGTTTATATGGATATGAATCAACAAACATGACTGGCGGTCTCACCTTGTAGGATTCGATGAGGTTTTAACAAACCAAAGCCAGATGCTCCATGGTGCTGGAAGATTTACCTACAATACTGGGCCATTTTTGGGGTAAATGTAACCATGGAGCATCGAAATATGGAGGATTTGGCAACAAAAAACATCACAATTCCTGTTGAAAATTCAGGAAAAACAACTAAGAAAATTAGGAGATACACCCAATGGGGATACAAATCACCTCAAGCCGAACATAGAACACCACCAAATAGCAGTTGGATATGACTTTGAACTTGAGGTATACGGTATACCTGACTTTGAACTTGAGGTATACGGTATACCCGTCAATCTTTAAACTTAGCGTCGTATTTAGAACTTCGATATTGTCTTATTATATATATATATGTTACGTGTATATTATCGATATTTAGAATTTAGACTAGAACAATATCATTTCGACATAATTTCCATAAAATTGATTGAGGAATTCCGATATTTTCTATACCAGTAGTTTTCCAAGATTAAAGTTGAAAGCCCTTTACCAGTTATAAATGGTTATAGTTATGAGGTTATCATTCCACGTTCATGGGGTTATGTGACTTCTAACTGGTATTACGGGCCGTAACTGTGGAGATGATTTGCAATTGATTTGCACTATAAGAGTTATTCTAACATTTACATCTGGATAAATTCTATAGTGACCTCTCTAAGTGACCATCCCTGACACGGTGAAGCCAAGAATTCTCCGAATTCTCCCAAGCCAAGAATCTCAGGATGAACCTGGAAACTACCCATTGAACCTGGAGGTCCATTGATTTTTCTACCAACAATTTCAGTTGAGCCATTCGATTCAAAATATCCCTATCTCATCTCATTGGAATCTCATGAAATACTAGTTGGTTGAAATGTTCGGTTTCCCAATCCTATGGGGCCCATCATCCCCAGTAAACCAGGTAGTATAACTACTTGGTGGTTTCAACTCCTGTGAAAAATATGAGTTCGTCAGTTGGGATTATTAGTCCCAACTGAATGGAAAAATACAAGTCATGTTCCAAGCCACCAACCAGATGATGATTTAAATGTAGTCCAACACATGTTCCCATCTTAGTACCATGTAGTACCATTATAGTACCATTCAAAAGTCCCATTATAGTACAATATAGTACCATTCCAATATATTGATGATTATTATCCCATTATATCTCCATTCTCTAAGACTCTATATCCTCAACCAGAGTTATGGATACCAGTCAAAAGTCCCATTATAATGATATACTGGTTGGTGGTTTCAACCCCTATGAAATACTATGAAAGTCAGTTGGGAGTATTATTCCCAACTGAATGGAAAGTCATAAAAGTCATGTTCCAAACCACCAACCACATGATGATGATTATTATCCCATTAAATTGATGATTATTATCCCATTATATTTATGATATAGTATAATATAGTATAATATAGTATAATATAGTATAATATAGTATAATATAGTATAATATAGTATAATATAGTATAATATAGTCCCAGTATAATGATTTTGGAGGGGGTCCCATAAACAAAACCGTTTTACCGACTGTTACAGATATTAGGCTAGAATCAATGGATACCATTGAAAAGTCCCATTATAATAGTATAATATGGTATAATCCATATATTATCCATATATTATCGATATACTATCCATATATTATCCATAACCAACCAGATGATGATTATTATCCCAGAAAATATTGATGATTATTCTCCCGTTATGGATAGTATAAATATACAATGTGAGGCCCCCAAGATAGCTAAGTTGGTTTATAACTCCAATAACTATGGTTTATGGTACTTATAACTATAGTTACTGGGGCTTATAAACCACCAACAAACATCACTGGGGGGCCTCACATTGTAGTACAATATGGTATAATCCACGATAGCACTGGAAATTCACCAGTCTATCGCCTCAGGGAGTTCCGCAGGACGCTTCAAGCGTCCGCAGCACAGCAAGGGACGATTCACCTGTGTTTTTGCGGATTCACCATGGATTTAAAGGGGATTTATAGGGGATGTATGGGGTTTTAACATGTTTCAAACATCAATGTTAATCACTTTATCGTTTTTTTTTGGGATTTATGGTGTTAAAACACCCGGTTGGTTGATGGCTAGTGATTGTCATTGAATGTGAATTCTAACCATCTGGAAATATAAGTGGATAATAAATGATGATAGTGGATATAAGTGCTACATGATTGTTTGTTGATGATCAGTTCGGGGATTAAATGCTAACCAATTTTAGTTGGGGATGATCACAATCCACGAACGGGGTTTTGAACACTGCTGGAATGATTGAGAAGTAAAATATATCCCAACCTTTTAAGTTATAGCGGCTGATTTTTTTGGGGGGGTTCCTGTAGTTCTTGTTGGACGTATGTTGTTTTTGGGCCAACGCCTCGAGGCGGGCTATTGTTTTTCCATGTAACTGCTGCGTGCTCCTTTTTGAGCATTTCACCTGTTGCAGTTGTTGACATGTATGTTGCACATCCTCGCTTCTGCTCAAGGGAGGTGGGTTGGGGGGTGTAGTAACGTCCTGACGACTTTGAGACTGTTGGCCACAAGGGTCCATGTAACTTGTTGCCGATGTTGCAGAAGTTGGGCCAACTCTTCAAAGAACGGCGAAGAAACACAAAGCAGGGCCGAAGAACAAATGTTGACCTGGTCGTGGCGATAACAATCATTGTAAAAGAAACATAAATCATGGCAAAATACAAAGTATCATGCTCATTCCTGATTCCAAATCCACAAGCCCAATGTTGAAAAAACAAACACGCCCGTGTCAAGGCGTTGTTCCCTTGTTTTTCTTGAAATGAAACATAAAATCATCATAAATGAAAGAATGACAACACTGATATTCTATGGTTCCATGATTGATGATGATATTTCATGATATTTCGAACACATGATTCACCTGAAAATAAAAACAAACAATTGAAGGAAAACAACGAAAAGGTTGTTTGTTCCGTACATGTTAGAATACCGAGTATGTGGTAGTCCATAAAAATATGTGCGAAAAATGGGAATGGGTCCGGACTTGATCCAGCAGTGAGGTCGTTGTATTTGTATCTATGATACATATACAATTAATATTGATTAATTATGTAATTAATGATCCATTCCATTTATTTCCACTGTACATCCCATTATATCATCATAATATCCCTATGCTATCATGTTTTGTGGGTATTGACATGGAGATTCCAGCCTTTGTAGATCATGAAAAACGTGAAAAAACCATGCGTGTTCGATATCTATGTCCTGACTATATCCCCACTATATCCTGACTATATCACATCTGTATCACCATTATTAATGTCCGCATGCTTTAACGTTCATATCTCCATTTACATGCGTTATTGTCTGAAAATATGGCTTGCTGTATGTTGGATGAGCCGTTGACCCGGTACCTTGCGCGTTCATGTTGGCTGGCCAACATCATCATGGAAACACCAATATGAATCGTATGAAATCGTCCTATTTATATCACCACTATGTCCACATATTTGCCTGGCTGGTGGTGCAATAACCATCTTGAAAAAGATATAAAAAATTGAGTTCGTCAATGGGAAGGATGACATCCCATTATATTATGGAACATCAAAAATGTTTGAAACCACCAACCAGCTGATATATTGATGACTATTATCCCATTATATTATGGAACATCAAAAATGTTTGAAACCACCAACCAGCTGATATATTGGTGACTATTATCCCATTATATTATGGAACATCAAAAATGTTTGAAACCACCAACCAGCTGATATATTGATGACTATTATCCCATTATATTATGGAACATCAAAAATGTTTGAAACCACCAACCAGCTGATATATTGATGACTATTATCCCATTATATTATGGAACATCAAAAATGTTTGAAACCACCAACCAGCTGATATATTGATGACTATTATCCCATTACATTATGGAACATCAAAAATGTTTGAAACCACCAACCAGCTGATATATTGATGACTATTATCCCATTATATTATGGAACATCAAAAATGTTTGAAACCACCAACCAGCTGATATATTGATGACTATTATCCCATTATATTATGGAACATCAAAAATGTTTGAAACCACCAACCAGCTGATATATTGATGACTATTATCCCATTATATTATGGAACATCAAAAATGTTTGAAACCACCAACCAGCTGATATATTGATGACTATTATCCCATTATATTATGGAACATCAAAAATGTTTGAAACCACCAACCAGCTGATATATTGATGACTATTATCCCATTATATTATGGAACATCAAAAATGTTTGAAACCACCAACCAGCTGATATATTGATGACTATTATCCCATTATATTATGGAACATCAAAAATGTTTGAAACCACCAACCAGCTGATATATTGATGACTATTATCCCATTATATTATGGAACATCAAAAATGTTTGAAACCACCCAGCTGATATATTGATGACTATTATATATTATGGATTATGATATATTGATGACTATTCCCATCAAAAATGTTTGAAACCACCAACCAGCTGATATATTGATGACTATTATCCCATTATATTATGGAAATCAAAAATGTTTGAAACCACCAACCAGCTGATATATTGATGACTATTATCCCATTATATTATGGAACATCAAAAATGTTTGAAACCACCAACCAGCTGATATATTGATGACTATTATCCCATTATATTATGGAACATCAAAAATGTTTGAAACCACCAACCAGTTGCTGTTTATATCTCCAACGGAGCAGTGTTCAAAGCCCACTTGCTGTCCCTTTTGATCCTGGCTGGTCAACAGGATTCCCCGTAAAAATGGATGGTTGCGGTGATCATCCCCAAGTGAAATTGCTTCAAAATCCCGATACTCCAACAAGGTGGTGTCCCCGCTACTCCAACAACTATGATTTATAGGGGATGTCTCTATGTCTATGAGTGATGGTTTATATAGACTTAAAAAACATAACTGAGCAGGCACCACTTTGTAATATCTCTGACCCACTTTTTATACCGATTGGGGTCTACAATTCCATGACCTTCAATATTTTAGGCTAGCGATGCTACAACTTATACCCTTCATTAAACTAACAACTAACATAGCTATGGAAAATGGCCCATTTAGTTCATGCTTTACCTATGGTTTTAACCGTGACTTCCTTGTTTATTTGATGCTATTTGTATGTTTACCACAGGGTAAATCCCATTATATCTCATCATAGTTCATCATATTCCCATAATATAGATCAATATATTCCCAGTAAATCACCATCAAATTATCATCAATTCACCATCACTTCACCATTCATGCACCATTAATGCACCATCAAAAATCCAAGTGATGTGGTCATTGTCCCATTAAATCCCATTAAATCCCAGTAAATCATATCTGGTTGGTGGTTTCAACCCCTCTGAAAAATATGAAAGTCAGTTGGGAGTATGATTCCCAACTGAATGGAAAGTCATAAAAGTCATGTTCCAAACCACCAACCAGCTATTAATTATATAGATCCCAGTAAAATCCCATTAATTCACCATTAAATCACCATGACCCAACAGAACAGGGTTATCCTAACCTGGCAGGGTGAAGCCACTGGTCGAAGGCGTACGCAGGGGGCATAGGGGGTCTCCTGCGGCGATGGCTATGGATGGCTATGGGACATGTGGTTTTCATGGTGATTTCATGGGGATTTACTGGAATATTAATGGCTGGTTGGTGGTATACCTACCCCTCTGAAAAAAATTAGTTACTTAGTTCGTCAGTTGGGGCTATTATTCCCAACTGAATGGAAAAATCAAACACCAACCAGATGGGATTTTATGAAGTTTAACGAGATTCAACGAGGATTTAATGAGGATTTTTCATGGGGATTTGCTGGTGATTTACCGGTGACTCTCATGGTGATTTGATGGGATTGAATGGGGATACAACGGGATTTAGTGGGGATATAAAGGGTTTATTGGGGATTAGGAGATATTAGGAATTCATGGGATATATAGCCATGAATATCTTCGGGATTAGGATGGGGGGAGAAACTCACCTGGTTGCTGGCATGTTTCGGCCCTCCAGCGTCATCAAACATGGCGCCAGATTGAAGATCCCTCGCTGTGAGTCCACATGGATCCATGGATCATCAATCTACCCGGCCTGGTAAACATACAAATTGTGCTATTGAACATGGCCATTTATAGTGGAATTTCCCATTAAACATGGTGGATCTTTCCATAGCAAACTGTTAGTTTATCTAATTTTGACATGGCCCATGGCCGTGTTGTCTCTGTTTTGTTTTTGGATCTGTCAATGCGTTGATGATGTGAACCATACACTGACAAATCTTCCAGGGAAAAAATGCCGGCGCAAAATCCACCTTTTGGCGTCTTATATGTATTGCCAGCTTAGAAAACCATGTTTTTCATGGCCAGCCAGGTCAACAATGTTGGCTAAATCATATCAAGTTCCGATGTTTAACTCCTCATATGTTTCCATATATATATATATATGTATACTGAACACATACTAATTTGGTGATTTCTTTAAATTCCATATTGAAAATATACTCTGAATCCTAACCTAGTGATGAATTATCTGCATTTTTCTGCCTCCTGGGTCTGCAGACGCTCCACCAATTGCTGGATCCTGAGGCTTGAGGAGGAGAAAAGCTGCATTGAATTTCTATATGATATACTGGTGATTAGTAGATACTATAGATATCTATAGATAGTAGATACCATAGATTAAGTACTATAGATATCATGAATAATCAATGATAATCTTACAATGTTAATAGATACTATAGATAATAGATATGATAATATCCAGGTCCATTGACTGAATGATAAGGGGTGCCCCAATAGCTAGCTGATTTACAATGGAACATCCGAACATAAAATGGATGATTTAGGGATACCCCCGATTTTAGCAAACCTCCATATATAGATAATATTAACCAACAAAAAAAGATACAACAACAAATTGTAGGGATATGTCATACGGATATTTTGGGGAGATAATAACAACATGGGATTTTAACCAACAATAATGGAGATAACAAGGGACAAAAAGATATACATTGGGATTTTTAAGCGATGTGGGGATGAAAGACTAATGATAATGGGGACAAAAGTGGATAGAACTAATCTTGGATATGCTTCACCAAATTGATATGATATAGGTGTGTCTGAAAATAAGCGCTTTGCCCCGGATGTATGTACATGTTGCCGGGGAATGTATTACATATATCATACATGTTTACTTTGGTTTATATCATATTGTAGTTTAGTAGTTTTTTGTAATGTTACGTAAAATATTATCATGTGATATTTTATCATGCAATAAACCACTGATTTCTAGAGATCCAATATAATACAACTATATAACAGATGAGCTGACGTTTGTCATTTGAGATACGGCATATAACGTGGATATCATGGGAGTATGTTTTGACTTTCTGTGGAGGCGAAAAGGGAATAGCTTACGCTTACACGAGGGTTTTGCTTACGCCAGGTCCTTCCCCTCTGGTGATTTCACATAGCTATTGAAAATGGCACCAGTCGAAATAGTTGATTTACCCAGCTATAAAATGGTGGATCTTTCCATAGCAAACTGTTAGTTTACCAGAGGGTATTGCCACTCCCTTACTCAAATGAACTGGGTTTTGAACGTGGCTCCATTGAATTCGGGTATTTTCCAGCCAACCACGGGCCTGATGACACAAACGAGCCTCACCTGAGCGGCTCAGAACTCACCATGAAAGTCACCTTCACCCGTAAATCCCCATGAAAAATCCTCAAAAATCCTCATTGAATCTCACTAGTCTTCATTAAATCCCATGAATTTCCAATAAATCCCCATGAAATCACCATTCAACCATCCAATGGTACCCATGATATCCAAGTCGCTGCTGGTCCGAGACGTGCAACTCGCGCGCCGAAACGACGCGTTTCTCTGGGTCGGCTGAGTCCGTTGCGTCTGCAACGCCATGGGTGCAACCGGCTGGGTGATGCCAAATGTATGGTCTATATATCTATATATATATATATATATATTAGTTGGTGGTTTTGACCATCTTGAAAAATATGAAAGTCAATGGGAAGGATTATCCCATATATTATGAAAATAAAAAATGTTTGAAACCACCAATCAGTATATCTATATATTAGATTCTGTTACCGTGTTCCATTCTCATTCAAGTCCGCGTTTTAGGAATAATAAAGATCAATAAAGGTCATATCATCTCAATTTATCTCATATTCCATGATTTTCTTGTATCGCTTTCAAAAGTAAGGTCTAAGTGGATTGACCAAGCCATCTGGCACCTCAAACCCCGACAGCACTTGGATGCTGTATAGTTCACCCAGTTATAGTCACTTGATTTGTGAAAACCCAATAAGAACCGGCTAGAAAACCCAAGTCTTTCTCCCTGTACCCCATGTTTAATCAATTTTAATCATATCATATCATATCAAGTTCGTATATGTTGATGGTTAAGTGGTTAAATAATCATGACTTGTTTTCCACCCCTCTCTTTGGAACTAAATCCACACGATCCCGTTTTTTGATATGACAATCAATCTTAATCCCCGTATCTTGATTTGGTATCATCATTCCATTTCGATGGTTAAAAACAAGAACATGAACAAAAACACACCCAACCAATGAATGATCCATATGATATAATATGATCAAATTCCCCCATAATCCCTGATAGTTGATTTCCTTCTGGGTAATCCCCCGACTAAATAGAGGCTTCCAGCTGGGAAAATCATCTAATAATTCAATCGTGAATTTTCCGTTGACGCGGTTGATTACGGCAGGGCAAATCCCACTAATGCGGTAAACTCCACAATGAACCATCCGCAATGGTACAAACATGTAGAAATCCTCCAAAAGTGATAGGTTTATTGGGTTTCCATAAATTTCCCACAGCCAATCCCCCCAAATCTACCCCCATCTACCCCCAGCCGTGCCTTCCGGCGCTTCCGCCTCCGTTGACGCCGGCGACGCGCTGCGGGCGCGGCTTTCTTGGGACCCCCGCGCGGCGTGGCCCAGCGGTTTCAGCCGGGGGCTGCAGCTGCCCTGGCGCCCGTTTCAGAACGGAACCTCTGGGGATTTCTTGGGCGAATTTCGCCCGAAAAACGTGGTGCTTTACTAAACCAAACTGGTGATTCAATCATGAAGAATGGTGCTATCAACAGCAAGTAGCAAGCAAGAAACTGATTTAAGAGCAACCAGAAGTAAGACTTCGCCAGCAAATATGCTGCTGACTTAAGCAGAAAAAAGGTGATTGAAGCGACAAACAAATGCTACGGGATTCACCTGTTTTGATGGTGCATGGGGATTGAATTGGCAGCACCAAGCATTGGTTAAGTGCCAAAAACGTTGGGATATTCCTCGTCAGGAGCTGACATGGCTAAATGGTAGTAATATGTTCTAAGCTCATAATGTTTCTCAGCTATACGATCAAACATATGCATGAACATAGCTAGTTGAAGTGCAGCCGGTGGAAGGACTTTCTGCCCATCGTTGACGCTGCGTGACGGCCATTATCTGCGAGATGCCTTGCAGGTGAAGTAGACCATTCCCACAGCGACAGGCTACATCCAGCAAAATTCCAGCTGTTCCCATTGCAATTCCCAGGATCCAACTACCAGATAGTACCAGACATACCAATTCTCCACCTCGCTATCGCATCCTCTACATGCCCTTCTCGGACGCGGAAAGTCATTTCAAACAAGTGCAGCAAGCAGAGCACTTCTACAATGTGAGGCCCATAAACCATAGTAACTATAGTTGTAAGTACCATAAACCATAGTTATTGGAGTTATAAACCAACTTAGCTATCTTGGGGGCCTCACATTGTATGGGTTTGTCTGAAACTACCGTACCCCTAAATCCAGTTGGTTAATCATCATTTTCCCCATCACCCTCCCGTAATCAAATGCGGCTGGAAAGTCTCCCTCAAAAATCACTAAACCATCCATTGACTTCAGGGATTTCCCGCGATGTTTGATGTTTGACTAGGCTAAATCCAACAAAAAATAATCATGATTCATCATATTAAACCAGTATTGACCATTAATCCCGGATTACAACCATGGGTTTCATGGCTCTAAACCACTATTGACCATGCGTTTCCCATTCAGAACCATCAATTTTGAGGTATGAACCGCTGGCAGAGTACCTGTCAACCCAACTAAGGCCCTTATCGAATCGTTGGAATCGTTGGAATCATCCCTCGTGGGGTTGAACCGCGATCCGCAAAAGCCTCATATGTCTTACTGGTTGGTGGTTTCAACCTACAAAAAACCCCTCTGAAATTGTTTTGGAAAACATAGGAATTTATGGAATTACTATGGAATTACTATGGAATTACCCTTCTGGAATAGTATTATATAGTATAGATGATATAGTGGGGGTAACTGATATAGCCAATACATGCCAATACTATTAATAGTATCTAATAGTCAATAGTGTACCTTCTGGTAAACTAACAGTTTGCTATGGAAAATCACCATCTTTAATAGGTAAATTAACTATAAATGTGCCATGTTCAATAGCTATGTTAAATTACCAGAGGGTATCTCATATGATATATCTATGATTAATATTATAATAATATTGGCAATCAATACTATATAATACTATAGCTGGTTGGTGGTTTCAACCCTACCCATCTGAAAAATATGAAAGTCGGTTGGGATTATTATTCCCAACTGAATGGAAAAATAAAAAATGTTCCAAACCACCAACCAGGTAGTTACTATCCCATGATATCCTTCATGATCTCCCATGATCTCCCAACAATTCCCGTCAATTGCAAATCTTCGGCACCCGCCTGCCGTTGCCCAGGTTTCCTGCCAGGTAGAGTCCTGGATCATAGGCTGGATGGTGGTTGACCTACCCCTCTGAAAAATATGAAAGTCAATGGGAAGGATGACATCCCATATATTATGGAAAATAAAAGCCATGTTCGAAACCACCAACCAGCTACCTATAAATGGATGATATAGGGGTACCCCCGTTTTAACCACCCGCATTACTGTAACCATGAAGAATTGGAGATTTTATGAAAATCTCATTGATTTCATAAAATTGCTACAATGAGGCTACTCCTTCCCGCATTCATCTTAAACACCCCCAAGAAATCATGGTTTACGAATGGGGATGAGTTACTAGGGATGATACCGCATATGACTGAGACCATAGTCTATGGGGTTGAGGAAGGGATCACAGGATATCACAGGTGGAGCGTTCTTCTCCGAATCAAAAATCCTAGAAATTTTCTTAGCCAACCACCCCCAACTTAGTAGGAGGTACTAAGCAATTGATCATAAATGTGGGGAGCCTAGGGGGTTTGAACACTGCTCCCATATTTCCTCATGATTTTCCCATTGAATACCCACTGACCTATTATACTCCACCAGCTCCATCGCTCCTCCAAAGGGGCGTCGACGCCACTTTCTCTGGGCATTTTGCTCGTTGGAAGGGCGCGGAAGAAGGTCGTGTCGCCACCTGCAGGGTGGTGGTGTTCCTCCGTGATGTTGGTTTATGAACCATACTTATATCTACCATAGATAGTTACAAGTTAATTGTAAGATGGTTATAAGTTAAATAAGGTATAAGTCATAATTCGGTAGCAAAGCAAGTTTTGGTCCCAAAAGACGCGCCTCCAGTGCGAAGCTAAAGGATGTGAATTCTGATGTTACACTTCTTGATTTGTGCTCATTGACACAGCACCAAAAGTTCACTCTGCTCATGGCTTCACTTGGGTTTGGTCTGCACACAATGTTTGCATGCCCCAAGTGTCTTGAATGCCACGGCACCCTGCACATGTGAGCAATGCCTAGACAAATGCCACTTCGCGCCATGACTCGTCACAAAGGCGTCGTGATTGACGCTCAGACTGCAACTCTCAAGAATGTCGATCTGTTCATCTCTACACTTTACCGCAGTCTTCAAAGTTCGAATTTCTTGGTCTTGGCTTTCTATGATCTTTACAAGTGACATGTCAGCATGCTCAAATTTGGATTCATATTTGGATGGCTTGGTTTCATCCAGCAAGGTTTTCGGAGACTTATGTTTCTTACCATTACCACGATCACAGCAACAACAAAAGACACAAAAGCAAAACAAACAAGTCACAAAAGTTGAGAGAAAAATGGACAGCAAAAGAAATAAAGTGCTCCAACCTTCATACGCTACGGTGCTCTCATTCAGATCTGAGGTGCTGCAAGTGCCAGCGCTGGAGCCCGATGTCGTAGAGCTCGAGGATACCAGCGGCAAAAGGCAGCTGCTCAGCAATGCAAAGTAGAGCAAACGATTTCCAGATGGGAACATGCCAGGCAATGTGAGTGCTAACGCTTGAATGATCTTCGAATCTTCATACTCTAGACTGGTCTCATCTTCAATCTCAGTTCTGGGCAAACGCTTTCCAAGGATCACATGCTTTCCTTCATTGAAAAATCTAACTACCCCTGATGATAGAAGATGCAGCAAAGGAAGAGAAGTCATAGGTTTTGTGAGTGGATCAGCTGTCATTGATTGAGTTGGGATCAGCAGAAACCACCTGATTCGACCACACAATCTGGCTTCTTTCAAAGCAAGCGTATATACTCTTTGAGCCTTGTCCTGAGGCAATGTCTTTTCACCTGAAACCAATTCGAAAAGATCTCTGCAATCTGTGTGATGATCTATTGGTAGAGCATCATATCCACGCTCTTGCAAGGCTGCAAGCTGCTGCAGTGTCGGTTTCCGATCCGGCAGGATCAGTTCGGCCAAGCGTAGTGCCACAAGGCTTGCAGATTCCATGCCATTGATCGCTGCTAACGTTTCGCCATGAGATGTTGAATAAGAGATTCGTTTGCTTCGTGAGCCCTGACTCCACAGAACATGTGCTCTACCGCCAAAGAGCTCCTCGGAAGTCTCGATGCCATCAATCTCATAGCTTGTGGTGACAGGCAATCTGTCTTCCATCAGCAGGATCAGAACTCCTTCTTGAGCATAATCTCGCTGTTTCGATGGTGCACTAGCATCATGGATACATGCCAAACGCCATTTTGAGTTGTCTGCAAACTTCTGATAGATCAGGCCAAGGTCACAGAAACGTGGATCTTTCGCGTTGAATCACTTGATTGGCAGCCTTCAAATGCTTGACTTTGGATTTGGTGACATAGCTCTGCAAAACACCAATGTCTGCAACCAGATCAAGTCTGGTGGCTGCAAGCCAAAGTAGGCCGCCAAGTTGAGAGCGCAAGGTGGACTGCTCTTCCTTGGTCAGGTCTCTTTCGTCATTCGTAGCATTCTCAATATGAACCTCCTTCAAATTCATGCAGAAATCTTTCTGGTCCATTCGAAGGCCAGTAGCAGTCGCTGAGTACCGACAGCCACAGTGAGAGAATGGAAGATGTTGTAGAGACACTTTACCATATTTCTTTGTCAACTCGGCATACTGGAGCTCAAGGAACTTCTTGTTGGAGCAAACCGCCAAGTCATCCACATGAGTGGTGATAAGGGCTGTGACCTTCGAGCGGCTCTTCCAAACAAACAAATTTTCATCCAGAACACTTTGAACTCCACCTTGAGATTCTAGGTGCTCATGGATATTGAGCTGCCACGCCAAGGGTGCGTCATTCAGCCCATAGATGGGCTTTTCGCAAAGAAGCATCCATAGATGCAGCTCATCTTCTGACACGGCAAATGTTGGGTCAGCCTTTGCCAGGTGCCTCCAGACATTCGCTGGAGGTATCACTGCAACTTTCCTCATGGGTGTTTGGATGCCTTTCTTCTGAAGCAACTGTCGAACCTTCTCGAAGGTGAATCCTTTCAAGAATGCCCCAGAAACGTCCCAGCTTTGCAAAACAAATTGAAAAATGGAAGCCATAGACAAGAGCAATCTCTGAGACAACCGCGTTGCCGTTGTAGATCTCGTAGGCACTTCATGCCTTTGAGGATCAAGAAACCCTCTTGCGCAAAGTCTGGATTTTGCCTTTCTGGAACCGTCTGCATTTCTCTTGAATTTTCTGACCCATGTGCAATCCACTATGACTGTGTCATCAGTGACTTGATTGGCTGCGATCTTGGTAAATGCTTGTTCTTCCACAAACTGTCTAATTTCCAACTCATCTGCAATCTCAAACTCTTGCCAGTGAGACACTAAATCGGCCTCAGTCAAAACATCGGTGTCGGTGTCCACACGAAAAATCTCTCCTTCTCGCAAATCAGCATACAAAGTTGCAGCGGTGCGACAAGGAAGAACAAATAGCGCTTGTTCATGATGTTTCATCGTATGGTCAACAAGACGAGGCTCACCTAGGTCATGCGCTTGTTGGTCAAAGAAACAAAGTGGATCCCAATTGACACACATTGGTCGCTGAAGCATCCACCAAAGAGATCGCAAGAAAAGATCTTGGAGAGACATGCTGTTGTGGAAAACTCGTTGCCGCTTCACGCCAGGCTCCTCCAGAATGGTCACGGTTTCTGGTTCATCTCTTTTGGAGGCTGGATCACGAACTTCTTCTGCTTGCATTGGTTGGAGTGTTGAGTCATGAGGTTGACGAAATTGTTGTTGCTGCGGTGACTGTCGTGAGGTAATGGTCAAAGGTTGATGGTCTTCAAAAATGACGTATGTATAGATGTAAATGAAACAAATATCATCCAACACACGATGCATTTCTTTCTTCAGGTTGATGTGCTTGTCATTGATATGCTCCACCAGAACATATTCTTTGGATCCAGAGGGCCAACACAAGAGAATTCCTTTTGTGTGAAGAGGAACATGAATTGTTTTGAGAGCACGGCCATATCGAACTCCATGAAAGACGGGCACCTTGAAATGTGATGCGATCAGTCTCACATCTTTCATGATCTCATTGTTGTTGAAGTCCATATCTGGTGGAAAGGCCTTCCATTCGAACGCTTCAGTCTTGGAGTTCTTCTGATAGATATGGCCAAGACTATGCATTCTGTGAGGTGTTGATGACTCCACAACACTCTGCAATCGCAGCATGGCCTCTTCTTGTAGTTGATGTTCATCCAAAAGGAAGAAATGCCCTCTGAAAGGTCGAATATGCCTGATAGACATAAGATAAGGTCCGCCTTGGTACTTCACAATGACAGTGCCATTTGACTCATCCAAATCCAACAAAGTTGCAGGACCTCGCCAGCCATGGCCAGTGTTCGCAGGATCTTCTCTGAAAATCTCAATCTGCGTTGTTCCAGGAACCATGGTCGAAGTATCCACATGTTGAGGACGAGTGCGGCCAGCACGAACAATTCGTTCTTCAAGAACTGATGACTGTGCAGCAGACAGGGCAATCTGTCGAAGTCTGGCAGCCCTCTCAAACGTAGAGTTGGTTGGATCACTTCCTTCAACTGCAAGGTTGATGTCATCTACATTCATGAAGCCACGGGGTAGCACTCCAAACACACACATTGATGGCGTGTATCCTCCATAGTTCAAAGTACTGTTCTGTGCCATCATTGCTTCAGAGAAGAGCTCATCTTTCTCAACAGTGATGTTGTACCTCAGGGCTTCTTCGTAGATCTTGTTCATGCAGTTCTTGGTCAAGTCTACATGTTTCTCGACTAGACCTGTGCCTGTGTGTTTCTTTCCTTCTTTGCCTGTTGTAGTTCCCTTTGGACATCGAACGATGTTGAGTCGGTCCATCTCAGCACCAGCTTCTTGTGTCATGATTGCAGTCTCTTGATCAGCAACAAGTTGTCTTGGTGGTCCAAAGAAGCGAAGCCAGTTGTTGGTTAAAGCGTTGAGGATGGAGCTGAGTTCACGACTCTGCAAAGTGCCACCAGATTTGAAGCGAGTTGCTTCGTCCACTATCAACAGATAGGCATCACTCTTGTAGTAGAAGATGTCGATTTGAATGACGTCATTGAATGTCAAGGCCAAATTGGTCTTCACCATGGGACGTCTTGTGGCACGAACATACTTGCGACAAATCTCGCAGGCAGCAACTGCATCAGTCGCCAGTCGAAGGACCTCTGGTGGCATTCCGCAACGGATGAGGATGTTGCGAAAGTCAACAATTGGTGCATGGAAAAATCGTTCATGGAGTCCAAGCAGCAATTTCTTGGCAGAGGCTTCGTTGGATGTTGCAAGTTGAGGTAACTTCTGATACACTCTTCGAAAATCATATGTAGGCTTGATTGTGCGAGTTTGAGCAGGCACAATCGTTTCCGTTGCTTCTTCTGCAACATCTTCATCAACTGCAACATCAACTCCATCTTCTGGTTCAGCCGCATCCACCTCATATGGGTTGATCAATGGCTCGGCAAACTCTTCAGCCTCTGCAGGAGTCGCTGGAGCCCTGCGTGATGTTCTAGCAGGTGTTGAAGGCGAAGATTTGGCAGTAGAGGAAGAGGATGCGCCTTTGGACTCTTCCACTGAACTTTCAGACTCCGTGCCAAACAAGGTGATCAGCCAATCTTCATCAATGTCAGTGGGTTCATGCCATTGGTGATTGGAGAGTTCTCGCAAATCTTCAGGTTGAAGCATTCTCCACCTCCAGATGTTGCCACGTAGCATGAGCCGAAGGTGGCCATCTTCTATGCGCAGCACTGGAGTTGGTATAGGCTTCTTCCATGGTTGAATATGGGTACAGATACCATTCACTTTCATAAACGGCTTGAAGATAGTTTTGATCCAGTGTGTGATCACAGGGTCTTCCAGCCAGTGAAAGTAGGCATCCTTGTTCTCTTCGATATGTTTTAGTGCTGCGTTGAGGATCTTCATGAGAGCATGTTTGAGGATCTGAGAATGTTCTTCATCCAGAGGAAGCTCAGGAATGCTGTTGATCTTGGCTTGACGCAGTCTGGTGTTTCTCATAGCATCATCTCGAAAGAGTTGTGTCGGAGACTTCCCATGATCTGGATGTCGTTCCTCCACCTGTTGTTTGATGGTCTTTGGTTTCTGATCCTCAGGCCACTTGCCATAGCGACATTCGCCAGGCATGAAGGTGTGTTGCTCATAGTCTCTGGCCAAACGACCCATCTTGCATCGGGGACACGTGTAGTAATCCTCCTTCTCTTGATCGGCTCCATGATCATGTTCGAGAAACAGCTGGAGTCGTTGACAAAACAGCTTGATGTCCCGTGCGATGGACTTGCAAAGTCTTTCAGGGTACATGGCTGCAATGGCGGTACGATTGACTCCTTGCACTTGTCCCTGAAGCCAAGCATGAGGTTTACCACCATGACCACGACACAAGGAGCAGGAGTATCTCAACTCAAAGTTGGAGTCCAATCCGGTGGCCTTCAAAATGGGTCTTCCTTCTTCATCTGCAGCTCCATAGCGACATTGATCGGTGCGAGAGCAATGTCCAGGAAGATCCAGTTCCTTCCACATAGCAGATGGCCAAGGTTGCTCCCAGATGTATCCTCTGCCAGCTTGATGTTGTTTTCGAGCTCGTTCTTGAAGGAAGTCTATGCATGGCTTTTCTTGTGCTCGCTCAGCCATCATCTTCTCGTAAGGCATCCTGTTGGCTGAGACTGAGAATGGTCTGCAGTTTGGTGCCATGAAAAGACACCCAGGACAAAGTGTCTCATGCACTTCACGAAGAAGAGCCTGATGAGGTGCATAGCCAATGTCCCAACCATATCGCAGATCAACTGGAAACAAAACTGTCAGGCCGCTGAGCAATGCCAAGAGAGACAAGCGACCAGTTCCGCTGCAAAGTTCCCACAAGTGAGCTCTGCTTCCTTTGGGCTGAGACCGCATCCAGCTGCGCACATTGTCTGGACGAATCACCTTCTTCCTTGTTCTCGTGTAAAAGAGCTCAGGCAATGCAGCATATCTCTTGTGCAAATAGCGAACATGTTCTTCTGGCAAATGATCAGGAAAGAAATCTCCTTCGTAGGCTGCAATGTCATCTTCATGAAAGACGGTCTCATTCTCGTCATGGACAATGTGCTCTTCAGGCTGTGCAGGCAGGATGTCAAAGATAGTTTCGCCAGTCCACCGATCATGCAGTAACTTTTGATGTTCATCTTCAGGCCATTCATCTGCACGATCTTCAGAGCTGCCATCACGATAGAAGATCTTGGAAAATCTGGTTCTGCCAATGTTGGAGATGTCCACAGGGCACTTCTCTTGCTGCGGCACGAACAAGGCAAGGCGAGGCCGAACATGCACACGAATGAGTTTCTTGTCTGCTTCATCGATTCTCCAATGATCTTTGCTGTGGTCCTCTCGTAGTTCACTCTGCTCAGGCTTCACCCGGGATGGTCCGTCTTGGTGTTGCATACACAAAAGTGATTGGACTGTTGGGTGAACATCTGACCATTGAGATGATGATTGTTCACAAATGGCTTTCATATGAAAAATCACTTTCTCCTTCTGATCACTTTCTTCTTCATGAAAATCTTGATCAATGGGCAGTATGTAGTGACCTGAGTCAGTGAGAAGCATTCGAAGCAGGACCAGTTGATCCGTAGAGACGCCATCTTTCTCTTGGTTCTGAAAAACAAGGAGGCCATCACCATTGGAAAACCACTCGGTCAAAACCCACGCATGTACACGTCGCAAAGAAGGATTCGGCAACAGAGCAGGACACAAACTTCCTTCATTACCAAGGACATCTGCAGAAAAACTTCCCATCAGCTTCTTTGATAGATGAAATGGAAAAGTGACATGTGCAAGTGTGGAATCACCTTGACCAGAGATGCCTGTCACTGAGGTGCTTCGTTCTGTCCATTCCACCAGCGTTGGGTTGTTCTTCAGCAATGGTACATGTTCTAAAATGTCTCTCAATGTTTCCGATCCAATGATGCCAGCCCCAGCACCGGGGTCTACCAGCAAACCTCTGCGACTGTGTCCGCGAACTTGATGATAAACTGTTGAGTGTTCTGATAGTGTTGGAAAGTTGAGAGTCTTGCATGGTCGTGACATGGATGATGTTGATGTTGGAGATTGTGCATTGGTTTTGGCAACATTCTTGGTAGCGGAGGTCAAGGAGGATGACATCTTCAGGATAGGCTCAGCAGGTCCATCGGAATCAGTTGGCTTCGTGTCAAAGGCCTCTGTTGGTCGATCAGAGGACATCCTGGAAAACGATGGCTCTTTGTGATTGACATCAAAGTCCATGCCGGTGCGAGCATGATGAAGTTGGAGTTGTGCTCGATCACGGCGTTCCAGAAAGTACTCGTTGGACCAACGTTCATAGCCACCTTGGTCATAGTCATCCATGTAGTATTTGCCATAACCTTTTCCTTTGCCACGAAAGCCATAGGACCAAGGACGGCCATATTTGCCTTTGCCTTTGCCACGATAGCCAAAAGACCATGGACGACCATATTTGCCTTTTCCTTTGGACTTTCCTCCTTTTCGAAACGGTTGACGTTGATCTGATCCATGAGATTTTCCTTTGCCATAGTTTGAGGATGTCATAGGGCAGGACGAAGATTCATGCCACTTAGATCCACAAACAGTGCAGCCAATACCAAGGTTCTTCTTGAAGTATGTTGGCTGTTGAGCTTGTTGGGATTGTTGTGGCGATGGATCAATGTCGCCGTTGGCATCAACGTCTTCTTGCCCTTCTTGTTGGTCATCTGGCCAGTAACCATCTTCATCGTATTCATCGCAGTCATAGTAGTAGCCATCGCCCCAATCATCTTCATAGTAGTGTGCATCACCATCTTCATTCCATGGTTCATACCATTGCCAGTCCTCATCATCACCGATGTAGAACTGCTCAGACTGCTCGTAATGCATGTTTTGTCCATCAGGTCCTTGGCGATGTGCTAGCCGAAGGGCCAATGTTCGAGCATCTGAGAATCGAGAAAGGTCACCATGGATCTGCATGAGGATGTCATCTACATGTCTTTGAGGCAACTGACTGCCACGAAAATACAAGAAGGTTCTGGCCACTGCATTGACGTCCAAGCCAGCATGTGAAATCGCTTCCTCCAAGCGCATGTTCCATTCAGCAGTATACTCTGCCAAGGAAAGACGACCACGTCGAAAGTCAAAGAAATTCTCCAATGATTGAGTTGCACGAAGCTGTTCTCCTTCTCCAAATGCGTCCTTCAGGGCATTGAAGAGTGCTTGTACTCCTGAAGGAATATGATGTTGCAGGATCACATTTGGGTTCATTGGGTCTCTGACCTCATCTACGGACAGCCGGACCAAAGCCGCATCTCCCACATCATAGTTTCCATGGGGATCAACAAGCCGAAGAGAAAGAGCAATCTTCTGGGCGCGGCCACCTAAACGGCCGGCGATCAATGGTCCAACTGTCTCATCTGGGCCGTCATATAGTCTATACCACATTTTGACTCTTTCAAGGTATAAACGTAGCGGATAATCAGCCATGCCTGGAATCCAACCCGGTGGAACATCCTTGCGGTATTCTTGCAAGGGAATGCCTGAGGTAGCAGGAGTGGATGTAGCCATGTTGTCAAAAAGACTGGCTGTCCACGTGCTACACACAAAGCAATGGGTGAGTGCAGGGTCTGGATGCTGTTGTTCACTGTTTCCTTTCTCAGCTGGTTTCAAGTCGTAGATCTCGTCACTGATGTGGCCCAAACAAGTGCTGAAGTCGCCGAAGCAGCCAGGCGAGCAAGTACCGTAGGACTCCTCAGTGAAATGCAAAGAGCAAGTGCCGAAGGTCTCTTCAACAGTGCACAAAGAGCAATGGCCGTAGGTCTCTTCAGTGATGCACAAAGAGCAATGGCCGTAGAGCTCTTCAGTGATGCACAAAGTACCAGAGCAACCGCTATAGACCTTGTCCACCGTGCACAGCGAGCAAGTGACGTAGGGCTCGATCAGGACGCAGGAAACAGCGCAGCACAGCAGCCGCAAAATGCCAGAGCGAAAGATCAGCGCCAGCAGCAGAGCGAGCGCAGAAGCGCACATGCAAAGGGGGACACCAGGTACGCTACGACCGTGGGGTCCTATCACAAATCCCTGGAGCGCGAAGCCCCGCTACCAGATTCGGTAGCAAAGCAAGTTTTGGTCCCAAAAGACGCGCCTCCAGTGCGAAGCTAAAGGATGTGAATTCTGATGTTACACTTCTTGATTTGTGCTCATTGACACAGCACCAAAAGTTCACTTCATAATTAAACGATAGTTATAAGTTGGTTTATAAACCATAGTAACTGTAGATTTGCCTACCATACAGCATAGAATGAACCAAGTTATGTGTGTCTACTTAGCGATTCCGAACTGGGGCACCACCGTTTGGAATTTTGGACGTCACCATGATTTTCAAAATGAAAATTAATTCTTGTGATTAATTCAAGGTAATTCATTGATAGTACAAGGTGGGGCCCCCCCAGTTATGAATTATAGTTTATGTTGGTGTATTTGGTGTATATATGAGCCACATCAACATCCATCACCTACATATATATATTATGTATATTTTAGATTATATATATATATTGAATATTAAATTATGTATATGTAAAAATTATATATCATATATAATATATATATAATATATATAATATATATAATATATATAATATATAATATATATATTATATATATTATATATATTATATATATTATATATATTATATATATTATATATATTATATATATTATATATATTATATATATTATATATATTATATATTATATAATATATATATTAAATATTATATATTCAATATTATTATATATTATTTATTATAATATATATATATATATATATTCTATATATTATATAATATATTATATATTATATATTATATATTACATTTTAAATTATATATTATATATTAGATATTATAAACTAAACATTATATATTATATACTATAATTTTTAAAATATATATATTATATATTATATATTATGTATATTATATTATATATTTTGTAGTATATAGATTATATATTATGTTATATATATATTATTTAAATATAATATATAATTTATATAATATATAGATATATATATATATGTTATATTAAATATTCTATATTATATTATATTATATATTATATATATACACATTGATATTGATATATCTACCATAAATCCTGGCGATTTGGAGTCATAAACCAATTTAGCAATTCCGAACTGGGACACCTCGTCACACTGAGACCTGAGTTGAACCATACAGCTTGATATTCACCCCGTATTTTCTGGCGGACTTCTGAATTTTTGGCAACAGGACAACCGATGAGTTTTTGTAAGCAACGGCCAGAAAATCACAGTAGTCAAATTGATAGTAGCTACATGTAGCTACATAGTCCCCACCAGGGTTTGGAAAGGTCAAGGTTTGTCTGGAAAAGTCATGATTCACGACCCCAACAAGTTGCCATAAAGGGGAACCCCAACGAGATCCACATGGCGCCGACGGGCCCCACCTTGTATCCAAAAAGGTGGGGTGCCATCAGGGCCGAGAGATCAGGGCACCCTGCTTTTCTGATTGCTGGTTGATCCACTCAGCTGACTCACTGACTCAAGTAGTTTAACTATGTTTAAGAAAAGCGGATTACTTCTCAGATCTATATCTGGTTGATGGCTGATGAATCTGACATATGATATTCGTCATTGGGGATCATCAACCCCTGGTTTCCGGCGATGTAAATGACTTTCCCCAACAATGCCCCATCTAAGGGGGATGCCATAATTCCATGGGTCGGTGGTCCGGCAGCTGTAGGGCCATGGCAGCAATGGCAGTTTGGATGATAAGTGGGAGTCTAAATTCAACATGTTCCCTTCATTTGCAACTGATACCATGTCCTTTTTCTTTCCCAAAAACCGGCAAATTCTTTAGTAGACATGGGGAACCCCCTGTTAGGATTCTTGACAGGGCAATGGCTATAATACCCCGCTATGACCAATGGATGTTGGCCGATGGAGATCCTTCAGCTGGTAAAATACTATTCCTTATTTACCATTATTCACAAAAGATTCCACCCCTACAGGGTGGTGCTCAGTTCCAGTCATGGCTGTTCCAATCGTGGCTGTTCCATTCACGTCCATGAACTAGTTCGAGCTATATCTACCATTAACATCCATATATCTACCATTGACATCCATAAACTATAGTTAACTTATATTCTAACTTACTGGTGGGAGACTTACCCCCCCTCTGGTAATTTAACATAGCTATTGAAAATGGTCATTTATAGTGGATTTTCCCATTAAAAATTGTGATTTTCCATAGTTATGTTAAATTACCAGAGGGTATCTCAACCAAACTTCGCTCGCCCTTTGTCGCAGCTCCACGGCTCCGATGTTTCTGCACAACTCGCGTATCGGCAAGTCTCTGCCCGCTCGCCGAATGTCGAATCTTGGAGGGCACCCTCTGGTAAACATACAAACAACTATCCCATATGCTCCATGTATGGAATATTTACCAACATTTTCCCTAAAAATCAACCACATGTAGGTAAATATTCCATACATGGAGCATATGGGTATGGAACATCACCATCTTTCATAGGTAAATCAACGAACTAAATGGGCCATGTTCAATGACGCGAAGTGTTAGTCATTACCAGAGGGTAAGTCTATGGACTTCCTGTGAACATATGTTGCTGCTTGAGACAAACCCATTTTCATCCATGTTCCACTGCACCTGACTGTTTCAGGTTCAGAGTGTTTTTTAAGTTGAACGCGGCCGCAATTATTTGGTGCCTTAATGATGATTATGTACAAAGGAATGGACAAAAAGGGGAAACACACATATTTGGGAGTGGCACTGATCCTATTGAAGCGTCACTCTATACTACAGGGAGATTGACACGACAAAAGGAAAAAAAAACAAAATTCCGCTTATAAAATATTAGAGGCAAATGTCAATTATAATTATATCTTTCCGGGAGGTACTATACAAGTCTTCTGTTTAGGAAGGCGGCTGGTCCGTGCAACCGCTGTGCATCAGATCAGCACAGCGAATTATTTCAGCACTGCCACTGGCAAATTTGTGTTGGAATACGGATCCGTTCAGCTGTGTTCCACTGGGGGCAGCAACGAAAGGGTGCCAACATTTCAGCGAATACTGGTAGTCTATACGAAGGGGTACCCTTTCAGCATTGCAGATGGGCCTTGATACCCCCGGAATGGAGACAAAGGAACTACGGTTCACACAATTCGCTGCACATTAGATGGTTTTAGCATGTTCTGGTTCTCAACATAGCCTCCACGAAACAAACATGGACGTAATGTAATGATCACCCACTTGCAAATTATTTGCATATATAATACATATATATATATATATACAAACAGGATTACCGCTTGTCATCTCTTGTGCACGAAACAAGGGTTTGGTGTGGAGGGAATACATATGGTTCACTCATCATCTGCGCCCCTAAAACACGATCATCTGCGCCCCTAAACTTCGAGGTAAGTTGCGATCATCTGCGCCCCTAAAAACAATCAACTGCGCCCCTAAACTCTCACATAGAAACATACTTGTGAAGGGTACGGCCCTTAGGTTGAGAGGGGGAGGAACTATCATTACACCAAATAGGAAGAATATCACTAGAATCAGAAACATACTTCTGAGATATACGACCCTTCAGGTTGGGAGGGGGGAACTATCATGGCACAATATAGGAAGAATATTCAGAATATCACTAGAAACATTCTTCTGAGGGATACGACCCTTTAGGTTGGGAAGGGGGAAGGAACTATCATGGCACCATACAGGAAGAATACCACTAGAAACATACTTCTGAGGGGTAGGACCCTTTAGGTTGGGAGGGGGGAACTATCATGGCACCATATATAGGAAAAAAACCACTAGAAACATACTTCTGAGGGATACGGTCCTTTATTAGGTTGGGAGGGGGGAAGGAACTATCATGGCACCATATAGGAAGAATATCACTAGAAACATACTTCTGAGGGGTACGAACCTTCAGGTTGGGAGGGGGCGGGAAATGTCATGGCACCAAATAGGAAGAATATCACTAGAAACATACTTCTGAGTCCTGAGGGAAAAGGCCCTTCGGTTGGGAAGGGGAGTAACTATCATGGCACAATATAGGAGGAATATTCAGAATATCACTAGAACCATACTTCTGAGGGATACGATCCTTTAGGTTGGGAAGGGGGAAGGAACTATCATGGCACCATATAGGAAGAATATCACTAGAAACATGCTTCTGAGGGATACAACCCTTTAGGTTGGGAAGGGGGAAGGAACTATCACGGCACCAAATAGGAAGAATATCACTTGAAAACGACTGTTTCGTGCGAGACTTCCCTGAAGAAGTGAAAGTTGAAGATGTAAAAACGACCGACGGTTTCGTGCGAGACTTCCCTCAAAAGGTGAAAGTTGAAGATGTGAAAACGACGATTTCGTGCGAGACTTCCCTCAAAAAGCACAGCGAAGGTTTAGGGACACAGACGATAGCCTGCGCAACGCTTGGTTTGTGCAACCTGCGTGGCACTTTAAGCCCATCTGATCATCTGCGCCCCTATTCAAAGACAACCTTTCGAGCAACTATAGCCCCAAGAGCGGGGCACAGACGATGAGGGAACCATACATGTTAGGGGCACGGGGATTTATTTGCACAACGTGCGATAAACATGAAAAAACGAATAGGGCAACACACTTGCAGCTGCTATTCCAAGAGTCGGTGTTGATTTCCTCTTCAATCTTCTTATTTTAAGATGACTTGGGACCAGGTGGTCTACTATCCGTTAATGCTATTCACCATGAATTGATGGTTCTACTACAGATGTTCTACTATCCTTATTGCTGGTTGAAACCTCCTGTTCATCGGCGAAATCCTGATTGAATGACCCTCCACAGGATGACCCATAAATGTAATAATCATATATAATTCAATACTAATAGCAATAATGATAACAATAATGAAAGACATAACACTACAATAATATATATATACATGTATATAGCAATGTTTCACATGTTTCACATGTT